TCAGGTTTTAGACGTTATTAACTGAATGATCATATTAGTAAAGCAGACAATCGACTTACTGTGTTGAGCAACAAAGTATCATATTTGTTGAATATCATGCGATAGTACCTAGTCAAACAGACTGTTCCAGTTCTTTTGCACGTGACAGACTTCCATTTCGACAACCAAGCCAATGTTTGTTTATTTGTTTCTATTTTGGGTGAGAAAATTCAATGTTAAAAACGACGACAGAGTATCAAGCCTGCAAAAATCGATTGTTATTGTCAATCATTGTTTTCGCAATTAGCTGAGATTTTTTATGTTTTCTTCTAAACTTATGCAGCTTTCCTATGTGTTCAATATCTCGCAATAAGCTCGCAAAGTCAATTTGTTTTAACTTCAAGCTTTTTGATTCGATCTCCCACAAGCGAAGTACGTCAATTAGTACAGCAATTTTGTAGGCGAATTGAGGTGAGCTTTTTGAAGTATTTCGTATGCCTCTTGGCATGGTGACACGATCAGTTTTCCGGCGTTCTCCGACCCTTTGTCTGGGTACAAACCTTTATAGGCCATCCGTTCTTCCGGTAATTCATGATTATTCGAGTGATTGTACATCAGTTCGCGAGCGTGGTTCAGTTATAACTTAAGCAACTTAGCCACCGCACCTTCCACTGACAGCTCTTCTTTCTACGAAGGCAAAACTTAAGACTAGCAATTATTGCTTAGGACGCCCTGTGAAGTATCTCTTGAAGTACTGCTGGAGTTATTCACCACAAACCTACAGTGTAAAATTAAATTAAAAATCCATCTTGAACCCTTTTCGTCTTCCGTCTATAACTTCGTTCCGCTTCGAAAATCAATGCAATTATTAGCTTTTTACGGTCTTCTAGCAGCAAAAGTCAAGCTTAAAATTTTAACCTAGAATCGATCTTTTTGCTGTGTGCCAGGCCGATTTGCGTAAAATAGCTCAATAAAAATATATTGGCGCTGAAATATTGCTCAAGACAAGAGAAGAGATTCATCAATCATTCATGAAAGACAAATGATGTTTTTTTTTTTTTTTTTTTTTTTTCATCTAATTTGGCGAGAAAGTATGTAATTTTCGAAGCCGCCTTCGACCAGAAACCGCCACAACTAAAGAGTTTTGATCGCGTGTCAGTGATGTACATAAAGATATAAGCGATTTGAACTATTTCTATTATGATACGAGAAAAGAGAAGGCACTCAGGGTTAACGTGCCGTTCTAATCAAGCGGAAATCGATCAGTCGTCACTTGCTCGCAAATGCATCTTTCAAATCAACATTAATTAGCAAAAATCGAACATAAACAAGGAACCCTGTTTCCTTATGTTTTCCAATTCCACAATATTTTTCGAATAATAGCTCTCCGGCGATACTGTTCTTAAATACACCGTTCAAAAGTTGTTATTTTTCCGCTGGATTAGGGTCAAGCGTTTGTCACGTTTTATCCTTCTTCTCTTGAAGGTAATTGCATGCTTGAACAAATATTGTTGTGACCTTTTCGTCATTATGGAAAATGTAGTAGCTACGTGTTAGAACACACGCTGGGCTGAGGTCGAGCCCCCACTGGTAGTGCTCTTCAAACCTACCATGGCTCAGCACCTTTTTTTTGTTTGTTTTAAAGGCTTTTTAGATGTCATTGCTACTAAGTCGAAAGAACAATGGTGGTCATTGCTTGTTTTTGATGCGTGTATTTGCATTAATTATGGAGCAGTTATTTAATACATTTGTTACACTCCTCAATACCGACTCACCTTCGATTTACGCCTCACGATTTTCCTAGTCATACAATCATAAGGAACTTTTGTATCTCAGATATCGATTCACAAGTCATGAAATATATAGTTCGTGGACAGCTTTCATCATGTATTCAGCATTGCTAGTGGGTTAGGCTTGTCTCGGGCTTGTAAAGTGCGTTTCAAAATGCGACGATCCTTTCGGGTTGTGTACGAACTGCGCTGATACTTTGAAGGTAGGATTCATAAGCCTAGTTATGAATTTTCTCTTTTTTTAAACAACAATAACTTTCTCTCCGAGGCGAGGGAAGGAAGGAGCGGACAGAAAAAGAATGGGGAGGGCTGGATACATGTGAGAAAGGAAGGAGGGAAGTGCTGGTATCTCCGTTGGCTAAGAAAGGCAGGGATGAGGTTGAAAATCAAAGAAACTCCGAATACTTCTGACTTGCTCTTTAACCTATTATTATATCGTCTGCTTTAGAAAAAATGTTCCTCTCCTACTTGTTAGTAAAGGCGACTCTTTTCGCTAGATCAAAGGCAGAACCTGAAAGGTTAAGGGTTTTTTCCTCGGCCATGATTGGTTGTTAAGAATTGCTCGTTTCTTTTTGCCGATAGCTTTATCATTACAAGCACACGGTGTCAAGGTTTTCGTGCAGCATTTGGGAATCTCATTGTACAGAGCTGAAAGGTGATGATTGACAGGAAGAACTAAGTATGATAATTATGGCGCAAAATGTAATGAAAACGTGAAGCGAATCAGTTGACCATTGTAGACGATTCATCACAATTTGGTAATTGTTAAAGATAACTAACTTTGTTGAGTGTCTGGTGCATATGAATATAAAAAACGCCCCCGGTGAGGAAAACCCTCCAACTAGATCTCATCGTTAAAGGATGATTTCGATCCGCGACGTATGTACGTTGTTGCATTTCTGTTTACTCAGAACAGTCATAAAATCTGTTGACTTTGGTGCCAAACATATTTCAAATGTGTGGAGAATGAAATCAACCTTTCATTTTAGTTATTTATTTCCTCTAAACTGTAAAAATGGATTTCAAATTAAAATTGTTTTTCGCTGCAAAGGAATAAAAAGTGGGGTTTGAATTTTTTTTTTTCAAAATTAAAATCCGTTTTTCTGGAAATTGGAAAACAAAGAGCAAAAACGCTAAAAGAAAACTCGAATTTCATATCCAGTTTATCAAAAAATTATAAAACAAAAAGTTAAGTTGCCAGATGTTTTTTATGTTGTGGAAAAAATAAAATGGATTGTAAATGAACTAATTTCCAATTTTTACAGCAAAGAAGGAAAACGAAATAATTCTGTTCGCCAACAGTTGGTATTTAGGGACCAGCTAATCTCAATTTTAGACCCTGTGTCCGAACGTTATCATTGTCACTGCTGCTGTGCGTATGCGGATGGAATTTAAAACCACGTTTACGTTCATTCATGTATCTTTTCGTCTTTTTTTCCTCTGGCTCTGTATTTATTTGATGTGCATCACAAAGTGAACATCCAGACGAAGAACTACCCAAGAGCAATTCTGATACTGTTATGGCACCAATAATAATGGTGATAAAAATAACCACAATAATGATTATAAATATAATTATATTAAAAATGTCATTTTTATTTAACGTGATCACATCAAAGGCGTCATCTGGCATTTTATCAAGCATCAAAAACTCGATGATTTCACTTCACCATAAGAGAAGCTTCGCTCGTTGAAATTAGATAGTAAAAGATGGAAGGCAATATGCTATTGTACCGTTTACAGTTCCATGAAAAAAAACAATGCTTTCGTTCATTTGGAAGTGAAAGATTATACAGAGATGGAAGAGTTCCGCCTTATACATAGTCTGCTATTGAATGGAAGTGCGTAGATGAAGTTTTGTTTATTCACAAGCCGCTCTTTTGACACGGAATGGAAATAAATCTTGAATTCCCCGAAGCAGTTGTGTTTAATATGAGATGATATGGCTAAGCAACAATTTTTGCTGACTAGTTTGCAGTTTGAGTTTTTTCCGTAACGAATTTGACGATGCGAGACCCCATCAGGTACAACACCAACGGGAGGAACACTGCCGTGAGACAAAAGGCCTAATGAGCGGAACAACTACTCATTGCTGTTTGCTTCATGTTTATTTTGAGATTTCGATCTGTGAATATTGACTTCAGATATTAACATTTTATTGAACATTTTTTTCTCGTTTTCTTTTGTCAGCAGCATGTGGTCATCATGTAAATGGTACTTTTTAGGACGAGTTTTCATCTCACTAAGAAAAAAGCCATCTTGTCTTGTTTACTTAATTCTCATCCCGCCCACTTTTTTGAAAAAAACATCGAGGAAACCATAAACATCACGTACCAACCCAATACATCTTGGGCCAATGTCAACGAAAAATCAAGTATTAAAAATGCATCAAGATCCCGGTTCATGAAACGCCTCATTTCGGACAATAATTTTTTGGATTGCTTCTTTTTATAGAAACTTAATGTTTCATTATGACATTTGTTTGCGAGCCTCTCGGTAAGATCAATATCGTGTTCCAGCCATCTGCCTCTCTTTAAGTAAAAGAGGCCGTGGCCAATCGCAAGGCAAAGACGCTCACATCAGTTTTATTTTCGTTATAAGCATCGTCGCTCGTAGAGCAAAAGAGTGAGCCACAATATGATAACTTGCGATGGTGTTTCGATGAACTATACACTATTACCTTATGAGAATTATTTTTATCATTTATAAAAGTGAAGTGGCAGTGCTTAACCTTGTGAAGTTAGCAAAATAGTCGCCAGGTAATTTTGATATTTAAATTTGCAACCAAATTAATTAACATAATTAACATGTACCTGCGCGAATCGGAATGTTTGATGTCTTTTACACCGTTTAATTTTCAAATTTCGTGTTCTTGGTATTCTTCTGTGTTTCGACATTTTAAAACACCCCCTGTTTGTCAATATTTTCTGCTCTTTTGCAGGTTGTCGATTGAGGAAACACTTAGGTAGACCGTGAACTTGGAAGCGCAATTTTTTGGATAAATTTAATCGACATCAACTGTCTGTGCTTTCGTTTGTATTCTGTGGCCTTCAACACTGGTAATTTCACTGGATAACACGAAATACCATCTACGAACGATCTGCTGAGTTGATTTCATTTGTGGCCACAGATCCAGATAGACGATCGTTTTGATTCTGTGTCTGCTAACTAGGTAAGGCAGCGTGAAGTATTCAAGGTATGGTGGTTTATGAGGGCTAAACATCCGTCGAAATGGCTGTAAGAACATGCGGATGGCTTGCTCTTTTGGTCATTCTATCTTACGTCCCTTCGCCGATCGCGGAAGAAGTTAAACTTGGTCTTTTAATCCCTTTCAAAAGCGCTGGTCGAATCGGGAACTATTTCCATCGAGGCGAGTTCTTTGCCTCCGCCATGAGTATCGCAGTAGATGATATCAACCGAAGGCCTGACCTTCTTCCTGGTATAAATGTCACTTTCATCTGGAACGACACCGGCTGCGAAGAGCTTAAAACGCTGCAGTCCGTAGTATATCAAATGAATCAAGGCGTTACGGCATTTATCGGCCCGGGATGTAGCTGTAACACTTCTGCCAGGCTGGCTGCATCATTCAGTAAGACCATGATATCATATGTAAGTAGCCCATTTTACAAGTTGGGTAATTATGATCTGAATGTCTACTTCTGTTAATGCCCACTTGAAACATCATTTGCTTATTTCGTGTTTATATATATTATGCGGGATCGCGTTCAAAAGAAGAAAATATTACAAAGTCTACATAGTTAGTACCGGTTTAGTTCAAATCATGTTTATCTTTAAAGGAGAAAATTGAGTAGAACAGTTTCTTACTGGGCAAATTGCGCATTTTTTTACTTTCACGAAGTTTTTGGCTGGTTTGCTTTTGGTAATGCTGCGAATCGATCGAAATAAGATCGAAAAAAACAAATTTGAAAATTACTCAAACGTTTGATTAAAGTAGGCCCATTAATTTCTGCCGTTAATTACAATTTGTCTTCTTTTTTAATCATGGGACAGAGATGTTAACTATATAAACAAGCATGTCCATGCTAGTCAAGGAAAACTTGCGTTTAATTAATCGTTCTTGGTTTTTAAGATAAATTTGAAAATGAGAGTGGGTCTAATAAAAAGTACCTTCACCGGTAAAAGCTGTCATATAATTGACATATCCTCGTCTCGTCGCTAAGTTGAATCGTCTCAATTTTCAGACGCACAAGATTGTTTTTCATAACAACAATGAATATGTCATACAAGACTATGAAATGATAGAAAAACGCCGCCGTGTGAGATGAAAACACCTGGATTTTTTTCATTATGAATAATTTTATAAGCAGCATTTTGTCGCTGTTTGTCTTAAGAAAAATACTTCTGTATTTTATCAGAAAAATCGAAAGTGTTCAATATCAGATTCGAATTCAGAATATATTCACCGTCTCTCGACAGTTCTTTTTATGGAGGTGATCCAATATCATGTTTGACTTGTCGCTCGTTAACTGAGGATGTATTTTCATTACAAAAACTGACGTCTCTCATAAATGTTCTTCTCTGTTATTTAATCTGGGAAACGCAAATTCGAAGCTATGTTGTTTTGTTTATGTGATCCACTCAAACACTAAAATGACAGTTTTCACATTAAACCTGTGAATTTTACCTATTACCAATTGTTGTATAATATATGATGGTAAACTGATTATCAGGTTTTTTTTCTACTGGTTTTTTTCTTACAACTTTGCGCAATCTTATTTCCTCCATTTCTCAATCGTTAAAAGATGGTGGTGAGGTGAGACAATTAAAAACAATGTCAAAAGAGTTGTAACGCTTAGTAAAGTGAATTGCTCGAACTCAGGAGTAATAATGGGTCGTATAGTCTGATTATCCGCGTGGGAGTAGTGCCGAATAGCAGTTGCAGCGACTGTGTTTCGACAACCTTAGCGGAAATCATTGTCAGACTCTGATGATGACTTCCGCTCACGGTGTCAAAACATCGGTCGTTGTTTGATACCGGGGAAAGTCCTCCATAGGACCACTGTCACCCGTGCGATCAGACTACACGACTAAAGCATGCCTTATCACAAACTAATATGATACTATCTTCGGGAGATTACCGAGAGTCGAATTGTTTAACGCTTCTGGCGATTTTGTCGCCGAGCGAGAACCAGGATCTTGTCCTTGCTCCGGTTCTTCGAAGCGTGGATAATGATATCCAGTGGATAGCACAGTAAGTCTTGTTGACCCATCTGGCCCCGGTTGTTCGAAGATGGGATAACGCTATCCATTGAATAAATCTCTATCTGGCGGATAACGCTATACGTTTTGCTATCACTTATCCGCTGGATAGCGATTTATTTGTTGGATAGCGTTATCCACCCTTTATTCAACTGGGCCCTGATGAATGACGATTTATCCGTTGGATGGCGTTGTCCGTCCTTCTAATAACTGGGCCCTGGTTTCCACAAGTTTCCGACTTTTTGTCCTCGATTTCATCCAACAGATGTGTGGCAATCCTGATGTTTCGTACAAGAAGTTGTATCCGACCTTTATTCGAACGTTTGCTGTTGACACTAAACTCACACCAAGTCTACTGTCACTGCTCAATTACTTCAACTGGAAGAGAGTGGCGATTATCTACGAAAACGTAACGAAATGGATCGAAATGAAAGATAACTTGGCCACACGATTGAGAGCGAAAGGAATAACTGTAGCTCTGGAACTGCTTACGCATCATTCAGCGATGTACAGGCCTAAAAACCATTCAGACAATTACAGAGAAATTATGAGAAAGGTCAAAGAAGAAGCTCGAAGTACGTAACAAGTTTCGTAGATTATTGCAATAAAGATTTCAACTTAGGTTCAAATGTTCCCGCCTGTCTCATCCCAAATAACCACCACTATATAATTAAAATTACGTGTAAGCCAACTTTATAAGGTTGTATATCTATCTAATATGTCCCCAAACAGGAGGTTCCACTGCACTGCCATTGCTCTCAGAAATACTGTTCCTTCATTAGCCCGACCATCATAACCACTGCTTCCAGCAGTAATTTTGCCATTAAAAACTGTCTAGCCTAACCCAAATGCTTCTCTTCTAGTTGTGGTTTTTGTGTCCGATTTCCACATAGCCAGGGAAGGAATGCTTCACGCATATGATGAAGACATGATAAATGGCGATTACGTTTTTATAATGTTTGAACTGGATCAAGCTCAGATGGCAATGTACACCGGAATGCCTTTCAAGTGGTTTTTCAGCAGCCATAGGGAAACTTTGAATAGATATGAACATTTGCAGAAAGCCTTTGAAACTGTTTTTGTCCTGGCCATAAAAAGTCCTACGTCCAAAAGCTACACCAGCTTTGCAGAGGAGTTAAAACGCCGTTCCCCTGACCCCCCGTTTAACAGCGAAGTATACGAAGGCTATCTGTGGGAGGACAATACAAGCTTCCCTGCAAACAAAACTCGGGTAAGCGAATGATGATGATGTTATGCTTAACGACTTTTAATTTACAGCTTATTGCTTTATAAGCCGGCAGATACAGCCGGCTCCTGATTATCGCGCTCAGGTTGTGTCGTATTTTGTGCGAAAAGTGACTCATGTTTACGTAGTCCTCCTCTTAATCTACCCAGGGCACTAACATTCTGTTTTAAGAAACAGACAAATTTCTGGTGGTATCTGCGATGCACTGGCTTTGAGCAGTAACTATCATACCGCAACATCGAAAATAATTTTATATTTGAGTGTGAGGGCCCCGTTTGTTTTCACCTAATAGTTGGTTTATGGCCTCAGTATATAACAATCAACAAATTCTCTTATGAGTTCTTACGCAACTTTGAACCACGAGTTTTTCTTTTGACCTAGAATTGTCATGACAGTATTTTTTTTTTGCTCTTCAGCCACCAATTTACGGAGCTTATCTTTACGATGCCGTGTACCAGTACGCGATTGCGCTCAACAAAACATTGGCAAAGAAGGAACCTTTGACAGGAAAGAACATTGCAAACAAGTTGCATGATATCCAATACGACAGTAAGTTGCTTTCCTGAGTTTTATTTTTGCATCGTTATTTTCTAAGTTGCTGGGAGATGCGGTGGTTAGTGCATTGCACTGTGGGTTGACTGAGTCCGGGATCGAGACTTGGCTTAATTAATGTGTTGTGTTTTTGGGCAAAATACTCTACTCTCTCCACCAGGAGTATAGATGAGTAGCGAAGAATTGTCAGGGCCGCCTAATGAAATGCTGGGAGTGTCCTTGCGATAGGCTAGCAACCCATTCAGGGGCAGGGGAAGTAGTAATACTCCTAGTCTCTTCATGTTAAGGAAACTGGAATAAGCTCCAGCTGGTTGGGCCACTGGGCTCGAGAACAGACTTAATAAGTTGGGGTTAACGATCTAATTTGTATGTTACTAGCAGATGGATATTTTATGATGTTTTGCCGTTTTTATGGTGGCTTGTTTTATCTAAAAGATGATCGAGGCATTTTCATAGATTCAGCGGAGATTTGTTTTACCCAACCTCTCAGCCAAAACAGGCTGTTATATTACACAGACGATCCCTTGCAACCTCCTCGAATAGAATTCGCTTCGGATACGAACTGTAAGAAAAGAGTTGTAAACAACTACGTTGTAGGGATCTCGAAGTGGTAATGGGGCTCGCCTTACACCAATCTGGCCCGGATTCGAACCCTTAAACTGACGTCTTGTCTCGACTCACTGTAGGTTCAGCTTTGCTATTGATTCTCTTCCTTACTTTAAGGGCCAGTTCCTCCTTTCCAAAACTGGACACTCCAAATTGCTGAGTTCAGTGGAATGGAGCTATGTGTGCCACTTCTACCTGGCGTTTACTATTTACTTTATATTTTCTTTTTCAGGCATACTTGGATACAAGATTCATTTTGATGTAAATGGAGATGCCGAGTTCAACTTAACGTTACTGGATATGCAAGGTTGGTGATCTTCCTCCGTCCTTATACCAACAACGTAAAGCATCATTCACAATTTGCGAACCTGGGTGTAAAGCAAAAAAATCACATCATTATGTCAGGTTTGCCAAAACGTTTGCAGAAACGATAGCAAAAAACGATACGTAGAGGCTCATCTTTTCTCGTTCAGGAGTCTTTAAAGTATCTTTTAGGGCAATAATTTCTTCGACGATGTCATTATATATGTCCCGGCTCCCATGTTCTTTTAAGATATAGATTCTGTGAGTTTTCAATAACGTTGGAAAGCTAGTCAGTTTACTTCTCTCTTTTGGAAACGAATTGCACCGTGTTCGCCCCCTATCGAGTTCGCCCCTTCGAGTTCGCCCCTACCTTATGCCGTGTTCGCCCCCACACTTTTCGAGTTCGACCCCATCAAATCGAGTTCGCCCCTTGATTGAGTGATATCCAGATGAGTTGATTTGTGACGAAGGCACTAGCAGAATGTGTCAAATGTTACGTCAGCGACAACCATTTTGAATTTCGGCAATTGCGTGGAACCTGCTTGGGAACTGGGTTGACTGAATGAACTTGTGATAAAGAGAACCACACGTTTGATCGTAACAACCAGACTTGAGAAGATGCAAACCACGCTTTCATCGCGGCAGCATTGCTTAAGTTGTTAGACTTGTACCCGTTCATTAAGGCTGAAGAATTTACTCATCAACTTACGAATCAACTCATCTGGATATCCCTCAATCAAGGGGCGAATTCGACTTGATGGGGTCGAACTCGAAAAGTGTGGGGGCGAACACAGTATGAGGTAGGGGCGAACTCGAAGGGGCGAACTCGATAGGGGGCGAAAGCGTTGGATACCTTTGGAAACACAGAACGATTTTTTGTCTTAGAAGAGGAGACTTATTTTCGTCTTTCCTCTCTCCATTCCTCCTTAACGGTGGAACTATACTGCAAGGACTTTGAATGTTTCTAAATATCTGTAAAGATTTGCATGGGTCAAGCTATAATTACTGCTGTTGGTATCCGTTTTACGAACGATATTCCACAAACTTTAATTTCACGTTTCTTTTCCTCCTAGTTGTTAAAGGCAAGGGAAGCATGATTCCAGTTGGGGATTTCCAAATCAAGTTCGATAATGCAACGAAAGGAGGAGAACAGGTTTTTATTCGACGGCCAAACGCTACCATAAAATGGCCTGGTGGAAAGGGGCCCCCAGAGGACTCTCCTAAGTGCGGCTTTCATGGAGAATTGTGTAATAAACCCGAGAAAGGAGGTATTTGTTTCCATACATAAATATTTTTTCAGTTATAATGAGGATTACCACACCATCTACCTGTTTAAAGGTAAAATAACATTAGCACTCGAGGCCAGTGGACCACACAAACTACTGCTGTAATAAAATGACTTTGAAATGTTTTTGATTGTTTGTAAGTTACTGTGCGAGTTTTCAAGAAATGTTGCGGTTCATTTTGGTCCATGCTGCGACATGAGGCTGAATTCGTTAAAGCCTTGCCCTAAAATTTTGTCACTTCTTTCATTAGATGCCAAGACGAAAATAATTGCCGGAGTGTCAGGAGCACTTGCCCTCCTATCGCTGCTCTTACTCCTTAACATCTACAGGTAACTTACTTTGCTTATTGACCCAAGATCTAATCAGCCCCTCTTCCGACCAGCTGCAGTACATTTCGTGCTAGTTTACCTACGTTCTTATCTCTTAACCCGTTTGATGGATAAATTTCTGACATGTGAGGAGCAGTTACATGCTTACCATCTAATGATATATTCATCTCATTAGACGTTTTAGGGTATAGTATCGCTGAGTATTACTGAGTGCAGACTCAAGAGCAGTGACGTGAAAAGACATACGGTTAAAGATCGTGGGACAGTTTTTTGTTTGTTTGTAAATCTTTCTGAGGAGGGCAAGTTGACTCATCCAAACTTTTACCGTCTTGCAGGCAATACAGGCTTGAGCGTGAACTAAAAAGTCTGCTCTGGAAGGTCGACTACAATGAGATCTGTTTTGAGAAGAAAAGGAATTCCATTTCGTCCTTTGGAAGCTGTGTGGTAGGCGTCAACGATATCATCCAATTACGTTTGTTTTCTATTTTAAAACTAGCAAAGTGCTTACGAATGTCAATGTTTATCTTGCTCCATCCATTTTTCAGGCCTCAAGCCAATTGGTCACTCATTCATCCCCTCAGTCCTTCGATCAGTCAGTCAGTCAGTCAGTCAGTGAGACAGTCAGACAGTCAGTCATTGGCTTAGACGAAGGGCATACGCTAGAAATGTTAGCTTAAAAACTCTGTACGGTGGCCAATTTACACGATCAACTCAGTGGATAAAACCAAATTATTCAGTCTTTCAGTCAGTCAGTTATTCAGTCTTCCAGTCTTTTAGTCTTTCAATCATTCGGTCTTTGAGTTTTTCAGTCTTTCAGTTTTCCAGTCTTGCAGTCTCGCACTCTTTCAGTCCTGCAGTCTTTCAGTCTTGCAGTATTTCAGTCTTTCAGTTTTCCAGCCTTTCAGTCTTTCAGTCTTGCAGTCTTGCAGTCTTGCAGTCTTGCAGTCTTGCAGTCTTGCAGTCTTGCAGTCTTGCAGTCTTGCAGTCTTGCAGTCTTGCAGTCTTGCAGTCTTTCAGTCTTTCAGTCTTTCAGTCTTTCAGTCTTTCAGTCTTTCAGTCTTTCAGTCTTTCAGTTTTCCAGTCTTTCAGTCTTCCAGTTCTTCAGTCTTTTAGTCTTTCAATCATTCAGTCTTTCAGTCATTCAATCTTAAGTCGCTTACCTCCTTCCATTTTACTTGCACAGAAGGAAAACGATCCTGATATGTTTGAACCCCTCCTCGAAGATGACGATGAGGTTTTAAAGGTCACCGCTGTCGGAGTTTACAAGGTATTTTATTCTCACTTCTAACCTGTACGTACATTCGTGTTGAGTTGGTAACAAATTATAAGACATCGACCGATCAAGTAACACAGGTGTTTCACTATTCCTCTCTTTTTCTTTTAGGGAAACCTTGTTGCAGTCAAACGCTTGGCCAAGAAAAATATAGATCTCACGAGAACTGTGTTAATGGAACTAAAACAGGTACTTACCATAATACACAAATAATAAAGAGCATCCCATTGGAAAATCGGAGTTGGCAGCTGGAGTGCGACTCTCGACCTTAAACTAAGATCGTTCTTCATCCTACCCCCGTCTCTTTTGCCGGTCATCATCCTCAGGCCTTTTTTTAACCTCTTGACCCCCAAGATCTCAAAATCACGTGTCGTTTTTGGTTGTCAAACATTTCTTGTAATTGTAGCTTTAGTAAATTGGGTGTTTAATCAAGGTATGTCACGAAGTTTATCTTCCTGTTTTTTTTTCTCATCACCTTTTCTATTAACAATTTATATTGATTTTGTGAGGATGAATTCTTCTTTTGTCACCACTTGGAGCAATGTGGTCTACAGGGTATCCGGAATTACCCCCGTAATGATAATGATATCCATATCCACATCTTTTACACGAGAGTGCAAGTGTAGCTGGCGGGAAGTGGAAGGTCGAAGAACTTTCCAACAACAGCTATTAAACATACCACAAATTTGCGGAAGAAATAAAGCGAACGGGTCGAAAGGTGGGAGCGAATTTGTTTCACTGCATCAAGCAAACTCGGAAAGATGGCTAGGCCAATTTGCTATGGCCCGAAAACCTCCAAATACAAGGCGATGACCTGTTTTCTGACAGTGAATTCGTCTGGTCGTGTTTCTTTTAGATGCGCGACCTGAGGCATGACAATCTAAATCCATTCATCGGCGCATGCGTAGATCCACCAAACATCTGCATCATTTCGCAGTACTGCTCCAAGGGGAGCCTTCAGGTAAGTTATCCTATAGTTACAACACTGAACACTAGAGGAAAGAGAGATTGCATTGGTTTTACATTTACACATTAGTGAGTTCTTTCAAGTTGTGCGAATCTTGACGAACGAAACATTTACTAATAGAACCTCTTAGATACAAAGTTTAATTACGTGCTGAAATTTTCAATTACATGCTAACAATCCTCTATATTGAAGGACGTGAAGGACATTCAATAAAAGGAAAAGGAATCAGCACATGAGCTACTTGCACATGAACGATTATTTTGTATTACTTACTCGCTATGCTATTTTTATTCTTCGCAACATAGGATATTTTGGAAAACGAGGATGTCAAGTTGGATCATATGTTCATAGCTTCACTTGTTTCTGACATAGTTAAGGTAAGGTCAAACATTGGATATTCATTTCACAAAATTCCTGATTGATTCCGGCTTAATGTGATTCTGGTAAATGTGCTGCAGAACCACAATAAACAGTTCAGCCGTTTATTGGAAACAAATCACCAGTTTCTCTTACAGTGCCCTTATTTCATACAATATGAGTCCACGCTGTCTTTCAACCTCCTTTTTTTCTTTTTCTTTCCAGGGGATGTGTTTTATCCAGAGCACAGATATCAAGTCACATGGTGATCTTAAATCACCCAACTGCTTGGTGGATAGCCGCTGGGTGTTAAAAATTGCAGATTACGGGCTCCCAACCTTTAAGGAAAAGCAAAGAAAAACGTACCCGTCGGAGTATGCGTACTACAGAGGTAGGTGTAAGATAATCACCTTTGGGGCCTTGGCATCTCGCACTTTTTGTTATCTCTCTCCGTGTACCGGTCTAATATTTCCCCGGTCGTCTTTAACCCTGATTTTATCTCCCTAAAGGTTAGAGGTTTGAGAAAATAACTGTCAAGTGACAGTAAAGACTCCTTTCGAAGTGCAATATTTTTCTGATTTTAGATCTTCTATGGGTTGCGCCGGAGATTTTACGCCTTCCAAATCGTCCTGCTAGAGGAACGCAGAAGGGCGATGTCTACAGCTTTGCAATCATTTTGCAAGAGTTCCATACAAGGGAAGGTCCCTACAGTTCCAGCTATATGGATCCCAAGGGTAGGAAAATGGTGTTCCAGTGTTTTCACTGCTGAATTTATTTTCTGTAAAGTCGTTGAATCTTCCTCAGGGACGTTTCTACTCTAGGGACATCTCCATTCAAGGAACACAGACGCCGAGCCCCTTTAAAAATATTTTCTACAGTCTTATGTATCTGTTAAATTTGTTGAGGATACACCTATATTTAAGGAAAATCTCCATTCGAGGAACACAAACTTTAGGCCCAACTGAAAAAGTTCTTACAATTTTTTTTTATCTTATCTTTGTTGAAGGAACACCTCAGTCTACTTAGGCGGGGGCCTGATCTACTTTAGAAGACGTATACTAACGGAGGGCTACTCTAAACTTGTGGTTGATTTTTTTTCCTACTGCTTCCAGACATTGTAAGCCGGGTACAGAACGGAGAATTTCCGCCTTTCCGCCCGACTGTATCAGAGCTGATCACCGGAGTGGAAGAAATCCGGGAACTGATGAAACAGTGTTGGGAAGAAAGTCCAGACTTAAGGCCAGACTTCCACGAAATCAAGAAGATTATGAACAAGATTTTAACCAACAACGGAATGTATGTAGACTTCTACCTACTTGCTCCCCTTGATCAATCAATCATTAACTTTCCACGAGAAAAAAATTGTGATAACCTTGACTTTAGTAGATTATTTCTGAGTTGAAAATGGTGCATTTCAATTATTTCTTTTAAAACTAATACCATTAAAAAACAAATTAAACCAAGTAGTAACAGCGAGTATCAAATATCGTTTGGAATTACATGATAACATTTACATTTACATGAAGCGTAGAAAAACTCACTTCCATGTGAGAACTTTGTTCCTTTTTACCCGTTAAATACAATGTGAGTCACTTCAGCCTTTGGGATTGCTCTGATTTGTTAAGCACGAATACTAGAGGTTGATGTGGTTTTGATGTTTCTCCCCAATAAAGGAAAACAAACATTTTTGACAACGTTGTTTATATGATGGAAAAGTACGCTGATAACTTGGAAGAACTGGTGATTGAACGAACTGGTCAGTTGATCGAAGAAAAGAAGAAGACTGACGCTCTGTTGGAAAGAATGTTGCCAAGGTATGGACAATTAGTGTTTTTCTACCTTCGGGCTGTGAAATATCAATCTGTCATCACTGGTCGGTCCTTCAGCTCAGCATGCAAACGGCCTGCCATGTACACAGCTTTACAAGCATACTGTCAGTTAGGCTTGAAGCTTGCCATTCATATCATCAGTTTGGCATATTGCTCGGCATGCAAACTGTCAGTTAGGCATTCAGTATGGCATACCTACTATCTTTTCTTTCTCTGCAGGCCTGTTGCAGAGCAGCTCAAGAGAGGCAAAGCGGTAGAGGCGGAAAGTTTCCATGAAGTCTCGATTTACTTTAGTGACATTGTTGGATTCACTGAGCTCTCTGCAGAAAGTACTCCTCTACAGGTTGACATTTAAGTGTTAGATAATTAATCATTGATTATCACTATGTTAATAGGAATTTTACGGTTTCAAGTTTCAATACATAGAGAAAAATTGCCCCCCGAGACAGAGATGTGTACAACTTTCTGTAGAGAGTACTCTCACCTCTATGGACGTTTTTTTACCAAATTTGAATTGATTATTGCTTTTATAGAAATATAATCCCCTTTATTAATTATCTTTATTTTACTTATTTTTTTCAACGCAGACACTGCAATACTAGCCTTTAAGTTTACACTACTGACAAATTAAATCAGTTACATACATACCTCTTTATTATTGTTCCACATTCTATTTCAGTGGTAAGTTAGAAAATAAGATCCTTTTTCTGGAGATCATATTCTTTACAAACTTTTCCCCTGGTATTCCTCTACAAAAGCACAGTTAATTTTTTTTCTTCTTAAAGGTTGTTACTCTTTTGAATGACTTGTACACTCTATTTGATGACATCATAAGTGAATATGACGTTTACAAGGTGAGGTTTGCTAGTTATTATACCTATAAACCCGAACTGTCGTTCGTCTGATAGTCTTACTTCCTCGCCCCCTTGAATGGACCACCGCTCAAAACGTGAGCTTCTCAAAATTCATGAGCAAATTTATGACTTTCTGTAGAGACTATCTTCCTCAAAATCAAAGACGCAATATGTTAAAGGTTGTTACACCTTAACTGAAAAGGATGGCATTTTCATTCGTTGAAAGGACACTCTACTTAGTACACCAGCTTTTCAAAAGTCACGGGTAAACTTAACCAATATCATCAACTGAATTATTCACTGACCAAGGACGCAGCGAAAAAATTATTTAGAATGTAATAACTGTGCATCATCGCGTTTAGAATAATATACTTTAAGGAGGTTGGACGTAAAGTTTAAAGTTCGTGATTTAATTGTAAATTGAGCCATTCTTCTCAGCTGTACAATCTTACGATTCAATGCTTCAAATCGGGCAAGGTTCATCTTCCACCTTTATAAAACTAATCTTCTATCTTACTAATATACTCATGCGCTAAAAAAGACCTAACTTCCAATCATCTCCAACATATCTAAACTTTATTTAACAGTGAAAAAGATCATGGAAAAGTAATATCGAAGCTTAAATGTCACACGGATAACAAATTATGTAACATTAATATTACTAACCTTTATGAAAAAACCTTTGATTTTTAATCTAAATAAGTTTTTACTTATTAAAAGCCTCTTTATACTTTTGAAGGAAGTTTATAACGCATCTGTGGGTCAAATTTTTTCTTGCGCAAAAAATTTTGTTAAGTTACGTAAAAGCTAACGTTGACTATTAAATTCTGCATAAAGTTACTTCATGCGCCTTCTTAAACTGACGATTAGCGACAAAATAACATTATTTGCAGAGGTAGCCTCATTGCCTTGACGTTTATTCCGTTGCTTTTTATTTATGACCCGAAAAATATTACTTAGTCTCCAGTTTTCCGAAATAAATGACAAAGATACAGTAACTGCTTTTCTTTGATCATGAATTTTAAAATGGGGATATTCTGTTAAGAGAATAATCCAACGACGTTTTCCTTCAACTTTTTAAAACTGTAATTGTTGTTTTGTAAATATGCAAGTGGCTCAAAAAGAAATTAAATTTCGCACGTCTCTATTCTTTCCTGCCGAATGTTAAAATAAAACAGTAATAACCGTAAATTTTCACAATAAACATTAAACGTGGAAGGTCCGTTCAACCTCCAATTTTAGTGCCGTTGTTTGCTTGTACTCTAGTGCGCTCCTTCTGCCCGGCAGGTGGAGACAATTGGTGACGCTTACATGGTTGTGTCAGGGCTACCCATCAGAAATGGCCATCAACACGCTGGTGAGATTGCGCGCATGGCGTTGCACTTGATTGAGGCTGTGAAGAAAGACTTTACAGTTCGTCACAAGAGTGATTACAAACTTAAACTACGTGTTGGAATTCACAGTGGTAAGTGCAAGCGATGTTTAGAGGTGTTCTTGATAACAAATGATCATCAATGATCTGCCTTTTCATTGGCCGAAAGCCTCCAAAGTGAGCTGCAAACAATTCGGGCTACAAAATATAAGAATCTCATATATTATTGAACTGCACAGAAATGATATTGCGATAGTCACGCTTAATCGTGTTCACGCTTATCAATGGTAAGGGCAGATCACTTTCCTCTACGCATATACAATACCTTTTGTGCACGCGAAAGTTTTCTACGCTCTTCTGTGGATCCGGCACATTTTCCCCTTCCCTCTCCCCTTCCCCTTCCGTAAGCACTGGATATATGGCTATGTACCCCCATACAGGGAAAGGCTTTGGTGTGGTCTTGAACGAGTAAAAAGTTATTTACATATGAAGTATTTCGACCTTTTCTTTTCTCTGAACTAAAAAAATTATATAAGCTGTAAATGTTTGCTTAAGGTGTTCAATATGGGTGGTACTTATTCAAAATATTCTGTCTAAATATTGGCTACGTCGTTATACCACAATCTATATTTTGAACGGGCTAGCGATGTAAAATTAATTTGTCTTGTACGGGAGTAGGGTTTTAATGACTTACGGCACAGCCCCCACCAAAACTCTCCGTGTGATGTTTAACCCTTTCTCCCATGGAAGACAAAATTTCTCTTCACAATATCGTTTCAATATCAAGTGCGCAAGTGATGAGAATAGAGAAAATATCATTTTGGGGGATTATTAGTTGATTAAATACCAAATTCACCGAACTTACATCATAAGAATTGTATGGCAGACAGTAGAGAGAAATACTGATGAGATCGTAGGGAGCGAAAGAGTTAACAACTTAACATCGTTATACAATTTAACACCAGATCTGATGACCGTTTTACTTACTTATTTGCTCACTGATGCCTTTTTCTTAAGGTCCTGTGGTGGCAGGTGTTGTTGGAATAACTATGCCACGTTACTGTTTATTTGGTGACACAGTCAACACTGCATCTCGGATGGAATCAAATGGAGAAGGTAATTAGCACTTGGAAACGTTTTTTTATTTCGTCACAAAAGACGCTATTTATGCTTTTAGCTCGTTTACTTTAACTCATAGAGCGCATTGCCAAAACCTAGTTCTGTTTGGTGGGAATAAGTTATGAAAATAAGATCTTTCTTGCTTCTGAGAGTTTTTTTTATCTTTGGGTATCATTTTTAGTGTGTAAAACGTTCGGTTCTTTTGTTGATAGAGTTTGTTTGTTATGTATAGCTCTAAGAATTCACATCAGCGAGGTGACAAAGAGAATACTTGAAGCTTTGGGAGGCTTCATAGTCGAAACTCGAGGCGAGGTATTCCTGAAGGTGAGAATAGTAAAATAAATTTAGAAACATTTTCGATAACCCAATGGTTTGTTTCTCAACTTGATATCCTTTGACAAAACCGCCAACCATTCAACAACATATGCACTTTGTTTTCGAAACTTGGGAAAGCAGGGTTTGCGAAATGGCGGGCCTGATTTTTAGTCTTTCTTGCCGTGTAAATGGACTTCTTTACTATCTTTCTAAAACCGACATTCATCCGGCCGAAGGATCACGTGTTATTACCCAACTTGATGTTTGTCTGTCTTTCGTAACCAAAGTTTGCATTTAAAGCGCTTTATGTATTTTATTAGGGAAAGGGAAATATGACAACTTATTGGCTTATGGATGCAGCACAGAAACCAGTCCATAAGCCTCGGCGCCCCATACCAAATGGCTTCCTTACGGACTCCCCCCTCCTTTCTTTACCCGGATTTAAAAGTACTTTGGCGGGGTCATGCTCATCAGTATCCCTGGGAATAAGACGTTCCCCGTCGCTGCGCCGTAGTCAGTTCCGTGGCTCCCAGGGGTCTCCAATTATGAAGAGATGGCAGAAGATTGAGGATGGTCCCAAGAATTCCCCAAGAAACAGCTTGATTAAGACAAATGCCAATGCCACTCAGCAGACTATTGTATGAAAGCGAAAACACTCATTTTAACTCTGCTGGGAGATTTAACTTCCGTGTCGAGTGTGAACATACAAGTCTAATTTCAGAAGAAACGTTAAGAGAGAAGGAAGTGGATAGAACTATGCGATATTGTCGTAATGACTTTCTTTCTGAGGTCCATCTTAAGATTATTTGCTGTCACGAACGGGAAGTAAAAGTCACGTATTTGTGTCACAGCATAGGCACGTCATTTGAATACGCGTACCTCGGAGATTTTGCGTCCGGTAACTAATTGTGTGTGGCTATAATGTACCGATCAATTCGAAGCTTCAACATCCCCTCGGGCAACCCCCCCGGCATTTGACCTTGGAAAGGTTGATTTGTTAAAACCCCGCCCACGGGGCAAAGACTGTTCTCAAATGCCCCAACAAATTTTTTTGTTAAAGGAAAAATTAGCAACTGTGACTTTCTACACATTGACTAAGCTTTGAAACCTAAACCTCGTAAAACTTTCTTTCTGAGCCATTGGCTCGCGAAAGTAAACTATTTATTTTTTAGACACCTCCGTATTTAACAATATAACACTAGTGTTTCTCTGTAAAGACTTGTCGAATGCCTGTAGGTTACCCGGGGGAGGGGGATGTTGAAGCTTCGAACTGAACGGTGAATAATACGTTTGAGTGTAAGGTAACGATGAGCAAAAGGAAAATAAGATACAATTAGCATAGTTTCTTTCTTAAAAGGGTTGTGCATTAGGCGACAAGAGCACCGTCAAACTCTCAAGAATTTGCTTAAAAAATCATTTTTACGGCAAATTCATTTTGTGTGAATGGGTACCATCATTTTTGTGATATTTCATTTTCTGCTCTCTCTCTGTTTAAAACAGAGAAGACACATGTGTAACATAACTTTGTGTGAACGCCGTCTGTTTTCCAGGTGAAATTATCAGTCTATCAAGCTGGTCAAAAAAATTGCTTTCATTTCAATTTCTTCCAAGTTCATTCATCTCTGTCTGTCAGAGAGAAAAACACCTGATTAAAAACTGTTCCAAAACAATGCTCTTATTTTCTAGAGTCTCGACTTCTTGATTCCACTTGCCATTATGATAATTACTTCAAAACAAAAACCTTTTTACTTACAAGGTTTGCAGTGCTTTTTTTCCCTTGTAAAAATTTGTCGAATTTCATGTGTATGTTTTCTCATAATGAAAATTTATTATTTCTATAACATTTCCACTTACTAAAGAATTCTGTATGTTTATTTGTTGGTGCATCTTCGCTTTGGCAATTGCATGATGGCACTTTTAATTGGAATGAACGCCGTCACTTTATTTGGAAACATTTACATTTAGTGGAGATTGAAATTTTCAATTCAAATTCTAATCGCTAAGACCAGATCCAATATTTGAAAGAACAGTGTATACATCTGAAAACATTGAATACATTGGTTTTAAGGCAACATTTTTCAGTACCAAAGAAAATTGTTTTGTCGAAACCCAGAGAGGAATGAAAATCTTCATGAAGCCAGGAGAGCGGGTGTGTATATCGTACAGAGTGAAAAGTAATTTATAAGTTCTAAATTGCCCTAAATATATTTCAGCATGAATAGATTGTATATATTATATGTGTAATATAGTGCGTTTCGACGAGCTCGAGCAATCGGTTTCTGTAGAATGTAAAGTTGTCTATGTAGTTGTTTCTGTCCATTTGAGGAAAATACGATATAATTAAAATTTTTGAATAACCAAGTATGTCTCTAAAAACTTTGTTCCAACGTGTTTATGTCCATACACTCGTTTTTTGTAAGAACTTCTAACTTTGGGGCTTAGGTAACTGTCCACCTACCCCTCCCCTAACCCAACATTAACCCTAACTTGTTATCTATTGACTGTTGTTGAGTTAGGGGAGGGGTAAGTGGGCAGTTGCCCAGATATTGATATTGATCCAAAGTTCCTTACGTTAAAACGTACATGAGAAATCAACGGTAAAAGTTAAAGAATGATTTTATATAATAAGTTCAGTTATGCACGCATTCTGATTGGTTCTCACTTATAATCTATTGGAGAACAGACGTATAGATGACGTCATCATTAAAACTTTTTCTTCCGTACATTTTAATTCTTTATCATATAAAACTAATAGATTCCAAGTTGCCGTGCGTCTGTTCAATAATAGATCACAGAGGACTTCAAAATGTGGTAAGAACATCAGTGACACACTCGGCTGCACCTCGTGCGCTACTTTTTTGTTATTACCACATTTTGACGTCAGCTGTGATCTATCACTGAACAGACGCACGGCAACTTGGAATCTATTTGTTAAATAGACCAAGCAAGATTTAGTGATAGTCTCGAAGAATATGCACTATGGCGAGCGAAAAGAAAGCAAACGAAAAAAAATGTTGGAATTATTAATGTCAACACGCAAAAAGCTGTCTCTAAGAGAGTAGGAAAATGCTCACCTGTGGTCCTTACTCCAAAGACTGTTTGATAGTGTTGCGAAATGTTTCATTCCAGGAGGCTGGCTACTTGTAGCAAACTCTGTTTCGAACTTTACTTCACCCTCACGTTGGACCGCTGAGTCATCATACCGCGGAGTCAGAAACTTTACCAACAACAAAATGGGTATCACAGTGAGCGCACTGAAAGAACTCAGGTCACACTTGTCTTTCACTCAGCTGAGATTCCACTGCAGTAAGAAACAAGGTCGTACGTTCCGCGTGGCCACGGTCAGTAACAGCACCGGTGAAGGTGTGGTCTAGTACTTCAGCGGCCAGACGAATGCGCACTCCGATTCACTCTCTCACCCGGAGACTTTTGGAAAATCTATGTGCGCTAAAAAATTAGCCAATAAAAATATTAGAGCAGTTTTCAATTAAGTGTGGACGTAATGTGGAATTGCATGTTTTTTCATTTTGAAATGTCTGAAAAAGAATACACCATATTTTCAATCATCACTCAGACCTGAAATATTTATCTCGGTCACTTGTGATTTACCGCCTCGAGGTCATTGTTATGTATTTTTTATGAGTTCTTATTGGCTCCTCGGGATATTATCTCGGTTCTGATTGGCCGTTTTGATAACCTTGGTTTTGGTTCGTGACACTCGATTCAGAATCTTTCATTCCAAAAACAGCTTTCTTTCACTTATTGACCCAGTAAGTCGTTTTTATGAATATCCTTAACTTCTAAGGATAAGCAAGCAAGATCAACCGTTCTCTCTCATAACCGAAAAAAGTTAAACAAAGAGACTTCGAAATTTGCAAGAAACAAAGTCAAACTACTAAAAAAGGATGAAAGGTGGTGATGAGAAAAGGATGACTTATTTTAGTCGAGTTCCGTCAATCAAGTAAACTTCCTCCCCTTTATTATGAACACGTGACCCGATCAATGACGACAACGATTCGTTTTTTGGAAGCTCTTTAAGCTTCAGTAACGGTGTAAGCAATCACGCGCCATTTCGATTTGAAGTGTTATGTGCGACCGCCGAACAAGTACTCTAATTTAAGAATTAGAAACAATTTTGAGTTGACAAATTAGTTGAAAAAATTCCATCTGTTTAAAATAGAGAAAGCACAAGTCATTATCAAATGTACAAAAAAACCAAGGAACAAAAATCCGTGTGAAGAAGTAGGTGGTTATTCCTTAATCAACTTAACTTTTTTGACTGTTGCAGACAAAAAGGAAACTAGCTTTTTGGTTGACTTTTTGTTGCATTCGTTTACTGTTAAATATTGCATGGATTTAAAGTGTTTTTCTTGATGTTTCCATGCAGACTAAGTCGTTCGGGATGTATGCTTGTTGCCTCATTTCGTGTTTTTATGTATCAGCAAACGCTTTATGACGAGCGAAATGAAGAATTTATACCGTGCCTGCCTAAGGGAAAGACGAACTCAAAACATTTGCACGATTTGAAAAACAAACGAGCGCGCAGCGCACGTCTATAACTTTTTGTCAAAAAATTTACGATACAATTTTTCCAGTTTCCACTCCTATCGTTATTTACACCCATATAAAAAAATTATTTTATATCGACGACATTCCTACTTTATTATTATACTAGAATATTAGTCTGGATATAGAGTGTACATTGTAATTACCATAGAATGTGTCGACAAGATCATGTGATATTTTTCTTTTGTGTAAAGTTGTTTACTTTCTCATAGGGTAACACCCAGTATTTCTCAATTGAGAATATGGGTAGTACTCAAGTGAAATGATCATCTGAGCCATCTGATGCGGTACCGCTGCACAGAGTTTCGCCATTTGCTTTGATCGTCATTTTAAAGTTTACACCATTATTTAATTTCGTGAGTTATGAAGAAGTTCAAACCTGTTTCTGTGAAAACGATTGTCCGCGGAAGAACTGGGAAGACCGTTATTCATACTGGTACGTTGTCAGTTCTGGCCAGGTTCGCCTGAGAGACCGTCCGTGGGCTTCCATTTTAAATTAATGGACCTTGCTGAAAAGTTATTCCTGCACAGTCAGGTGTCTGTAAAGGAGTTTTCAGAATTGATTTTGGAAATGACACCACCTTTGCAGCCTAATTTTGTGAGTAGTTTTATTATTACAGTGGTGTTCTTTATAAGACCAGTGTTTTTTAATTTATACTGATAGATTTTCTAGTTTAAATAAATTCTTTATTTTAAATATAATATTGAGATTGCTCATTTACATTCTGGAGAAGGAGGCAGTGGTTCAGCGCATCCAAATGTTTGGAGTGCTGGCTTTCAAATCTTAGCAAATGTTGAATTTATATGCCATCTATCCTAATATTTTAATTTCCAGTTAAACTGTACATTGTAGAAATCTTTTGGACTGTTAGTTTTCCCATTTAAGCTAAAACCCCGCAAATGCCGAGGCCATCAAGTCACGTTGATGATCTTCCCGTCTGTTAACAATATTGTCTATATCCCTGCTTGAAACAGTGTTTGAACCTAGGACCATACCTGCAGCTGTATTTAATGCTAAATCCTACTTAATATAACATTAAGCCACAATTGACTACGCATATACAAGAAGTAAGTATGGATAAATCAGGAGTGAAATGAAAAATAATGACAATATCAGTGTTATACGAAAATGACTGAGTACATGTAAATAAAATATATTTTCCTTCTAATACAAGTACCTGTTTTAAAGAATTCAGCACAAAATGAATTGTAAGAATTTGGTCCTTTGACACCTTTGATTCTTTTTAATGTGACATCTGCAGAAGAAGATGATTCTTGTGGCCTTGTTCTTTTCTGATTCCCAATCCACGTCTGCAAAAATCATTCAGTGTAATTGTTATATTACTCATTATGTTAAAATTAGTATTAATTAACCACTGATGACAACTGAATAAACATACGAAAGCTATTTAATATTAATTTTGATCAAAGACCATAAAAGTGTTGTCATGAGGAAAAAGGAGAGGAGGGGAGAAGAAAGAGGAGGTTTGCATCAGAACTACTGAGAAATACTGCAATAATGCCTGACCATAAGATATAGTATTCGTACATGCTTGAAAATAGTATTTAACATCCTTTAGACAACAGATCTACAACGGACATCCTCTACTTCATCCTAACCTGGGATTAACTGAACCTTGCTTTGACAAAATGAGCTTGTGGGGTTGAATAATAAAAATAATAATAATAATACAACTATCTTAAATTTGTACAGTTGAAGTCCTCATCTTTGCATATGATCTTACGTTTATAATGTTTTCAAATAGAAACCTTACATTTCGGAATTCAATGGATTACCTTGAAAGGTAAATACGCACGTGTAATGAACGTCAATGATCTTGAGTCTGAGTAAAGCAGAGTTAACTGTCTGTAACTGTACCTGATCACGATCTAAAACAACATCCAATAAACTTTAACCGTTAGGCTATTATTGACGTATAAATGCATCTACGATCTATACGAATCGTTAGTTTTGTTTGATTCGTGGAATTATTGAGATAAAATGAGGTACAACCTGGTATAAAGCTACAACTGAGGTTAACAAAATGATTAAGCTTACCTCGACTTGTGCCTTCGTCAAACCAGTGTCTGTTGACGCCTTTAAAACCGTCTCCTTGTACATGGTTCCCGTTCCAACCATCCTTCCTTCGAAAAACCGCTCTGAAATACCTCTCTGTACATCTGAGATACGAGTACGTTTCGCCATTGTATTTCCTTACGAAGAACAACCACTATCTCGCTGAAAGCTTACCAGACGGCACGTTGTGGAATTTGTCACTCGCTGGCGAACGCGTATTATTCCATAAACCGATTTCATTGGCTGTTCTAGACAATGCTTTAAATCAGCGGCATCAGACGGCTCAGACGACTCAGACGATCATTTCACTTGGGTACTACCCACATTCTTAATTGAGAAATACTGGGTGTTACCCTGTGAGAAAATATGACACGGGTGACTCACTTTATTCTAAAAGACATTGTATAATTCTACCAGTTATTCTACTCCTTAAATCCGACAAGGGAAATGTAATGAAGTATCTTGAGGCGAAGGTAGCTTGATTAACTTTTCATAGTCCTCCTTTTTCTTTTCTCGTTGTTCTTGCACCTGAAACGAAAGGGTCGTTCCGTGCTGGTAATCGTTACGCGAAGAAATGTCAATCAAAGAGAGTCACTTAACCACCTAACCGTGAAAGTTAACGAAAAACAAGACGAAGGATCATCTGTTTGCAGGGTACATGTGTTGATGTTTCCCGTCAGCGAAGCGGCAAAACAAAGGGAGGCCAGTGTCATGCGAGATACAAAGGAAGATGGTGTCAAACACGAAAACGTAAATAATTAATATCCATGAATAATTCCCTTTCAACACAGGTTGTTATCATTGCAAACGGGTATATTTGCCTACTGGCCTCCATATCATCCCGAAATAATTTCAAGCACAATAGTTTAAGTTAAGGATTGAGCAAAGTCGCCCCACAACCTCCAAGCTATAATTGTGTCATTGTGAGAGCACACTTTGGAGCCCGGTTAAATTTGGAAAAAAGTTTAGAATTTTTTTTGTAATTATCTACTTGAGCAGTTTACATTCAATCTATCGTTTTGCCCTTGTACACCCTATTCTTTTCAATTTGATGCGTGGATTGGAAAGCTATTATGGAATTTGCGCACTTAATTTTTATTAAATGGTGACTCAATTCGTTTAGGGTAATTGTGTCGATATTTCTCATGAACGAGCCGCACGAAGAAGGGCAGGTCAATGTCAACCCAGATACAAAGGAATTACTGTAGAAACTACACGGTCTGTCATCCTAGAAAAACGCACGTTTGCGCCTCGCTAAAAAATATGGTTCTTTTTTGTGACTGGATCGATATTGCGTTAGTCTACTGGCCTCTATATTATCCCTGCATATTTTCATGGATAATAGTAAAGGCTGTGGAATAAACGAGACCGCAAACCTGCTCCACTATAATGATGTCATTTTGTAGGAAAAGTTCCAAGATGCGTTTATTTTAAAAGATTTAAAGTTTTGCCTGTAAAAATGTGTTTTTATCCTTTCGGTGTATCGAAAATAATAAAAGTGCCAGGCGTTTCCTCGAGCAGTTTGATATCCCATTCAACTTTACTAAATCACCTCGTATACCATTTTCTTTTGATTATTATGGCATTGGCGGAAGAAAAATTGTCATGAAATGGTTCTTTTAGATCATTAAGTGAAAGTTGCATTGCACTTTGATCTTTTTGGAAGCTAAGAAAGGTTCGAGCTCTCAGCATCCTGCTCTCTCATGCAAGGTGATTCGGGACACGCGTAACTCTTATTTCTCTGAATATTTCCATGCATACAGACCAAGTCGTGCTGGATGTTTTCTTGTTGTCTCATTTCGTGTTTTTAAGTATTAGGTATCGTTTTATGGTGAGCGAAATAAAGAATTTATGTCGTGCCTGCCTAATGACCATCTTGTAGCGGAAGCTATTGAATTACGCGAGGGAAAGATGAACTCAAATCATTTGCATTAACTATCTCAACTACAGTCAATAGATCGGTTGTAAATAATGCACGAACTAAACTTCCCCTCTGGCGACTTTGTTAAGTTCATTGTGAGATCCTACCGGCAGAGATGAAAACCCACGGTTGGTATTACAAGCAACTCAAAAAAGATTATGTCAAACGATCGCACTTGAAAATTTTCGGAAATACATTACAATACATTTGGGATGAATATTTTATCATTGCATAAAGTTGTATGGAGCATTAAGTCACTGGTAGAGCGATTATGTTATTAATAATAAACAAGTTTTCATTCGCATACAACGAGCGACCACAACCCATGTTGTTCACCGTGACAATTGCCGAATACTCGCAAACGATTCACATAACAGAAACACCATGCACGCTTCGTGCCTGACACAGTTTGTCTTCGTGACTCTTAATGCGTTCTTGACCGTTTGGTTCGTTGCAGTGAATAGAGATATTTTGGAAACTAAACTAAAGTTGATAAATCAGCTGTTAATAATAAATGAACTAAACTTTCCCCCTGCGTCAATCTTGTTATATCCACTGTGAGGATTTGGGAAACAAAACAAACTTATCACGAAAGATAATCTGTGCCTTTACATTATCGAGTTTTTGAGGCATTAAGCACGAGGAGATCGCTGGTGTAGGATGGAAACACCTGTGGGTCTAGGAAAACAAAAATCAACTCGTCAACATACTAAAGGACGAAAATAACAAAAAAATGATTGTATGAATTAGAAGAAATTAAAATGCTTTGAGTTGCCTTCTTTGGCTTTTATAGTTATTATTTTTGTCTGACAGATTATTATTTTTTATCCTTGTGGAATATGATGAAAACAGCGGTTCAAACTAGTACTAAAAGATTCTGTCTTATTTTGCCCACGGCGGAGAAGTGGTGACTACTGAATCATTTATGATCCAAAATTTGCCTTCCTGTTTAGTGAAATTACTACATGCTGCAAATGAAAGAAATACCCCGGGTGATTTATTTGCCGTTAAGTGTTTTGACCAACTATTATCAACAAATAGCCTCGACTTGGTATTCAATGTTATTCTAAGGTAGACTAGCATTTTGGCAGCAGCTGCGTAGAGCAAACGACCAGAGGCTCGTTGAATACCAAAAAAATACTATGCTTCCTCGGAAGTTGAAGCAATTGGTCTTTGTATCTTTTCACATTTTTCTGGTAGTGTTGTTCGTTGTGGCGAACAATGACTTTTGTGCAAGCGTTTTTGAAACTCATGTTGGTAAGTAATAACTCGATCAGAACCTGCGGCTTCATTTTTTTTATAGTTGATGTTTCCACATCGCCAGTTTCCTATTGCAAATTTTTTCAGATTTCACTTTACTTGATCACGTCATCAACAAAACTGATGTTGCCGATGAGCTTGAATGTCAGCTAAAATGTATGGGAAACAAAAGTTGCAAGTCGTTTAATGTTCACCGCAATGGCAATAATGCGAAGAAGCTTTGCGAGCTCAACAACAAAACCCGGCAGATGAAGCCAGGTGATTTTAAACGGAAGAAAGGATCTACATACTATGGTTCAGTTCAGGTCAGTTGAAAATATGTTTCTGGTGTACACATATTCCTTTTTATATTCGAGAGCGGCACAAGGCGAAGATAAAGAAACAAAAAATCTCTTTGGTAATCCGTTTTTAAGCTAGAAATTTAGAGCACCGTTACCCTTTTTTTAACAACCTTCATTATCATCATTAACTCATCCTCATTTTCATAATTATCATTTTTTTATTGTGCAAAGAAGAACAGCTAACTGAGAAAATTCAACTGCAAAAGCTCTTATTGGTCAATTTTAGAGCGTGTGTGTAATTATACATATTCTTGTTATACTTGGTTTTGCTCACTGTCTTCCCGAAAAAAAAGTGTGTAAACTAACCTCTTATCCTACTCTTTAAACCTGGCAACAGAAATCTAAAGAAGTATCCCAAGGCCAATGGAGATTGATTAACGATTCATTGGCCTCCCTTTGCTTTTCTTACATTTGAAATGAAAAAAACGAAAAGTCGTCTTATGCTGTTAACCACTACTCGAAGTTAAAAATATAAATCAAAGGAACTCAAACAATCACCTCAAAAAAAAAAGCCCTATTGAATACCTATCCTAAAAACCGACGAAAAACAACACGAAGAAACATCTGTATGTAATATATTTTGATAAAACCAACGCAGGGCACTTGTGTGGATGTTTCTCGTCAGCGAAGCGGCAAAACGAAGGGCGGCCAGTGCCATCCGAACTACAAAGGAAAATTGTGCCAAACACGTAAGTAATAAATATCCTTTAACCTAAGAGTGACTATTTGATTGGTTCCTACCTATGCTCCATTGGTGGACAGACGCATAACTGGCGTCATTATTCACAAGTTTGGCTTCTTTATTATATTAAACAAATTGATTCCATGTTGCCGTGCGTTCAGTTGTTAGTTACATTCTCCCCTAAGAATCAGTCATTAGGATTAAGGAATTAAAGGAAATGATCACCTACGAGACAAGCCGTTGATCGTTAAACAAAGACTCACTGTTATTACCGCAGGCAATGTGTAACGAAAAGTGTAGAGAATATGGGTATTGATGTAAAGGGTTAAAGCGCACTTGTAGATTTTGTTGATGATAATAAGAACTGCGATTTAGGAACTGAATTTGATCTCTTTCTTTGAAAATCATCAAGTGAGACTTGGCCAGTCTGCTGCAAATCCTGGAAAATCTTGCAAGCATATTCTTGAATCAAAAGACTCTGAAGGAGATGGGGAATACTGGATCGACCCTGAGGGCAAAGGAAATCCTTTGAAGGTCTACTGTGATATGAAAACTGACGGAGGTAGGTGAATGGTGCCAAGAGATGATACCTGATGGTATAAAAATATGCATCGCAAGCTGTCATGTCCTAATTATCTACTTATCAAAAAAAAAAAAAAAAAACATTTTGGTGAGCAAAGAACGATCTAAATGTCAAGTCTATTCCTTGAGCAGTTTATATTCAATTTACCGTTTTGCCCTTGTACATCATATTTTTTTCCAATTTGATATGCGCATTGGAAATCTATTATGGAATTTCTTCACTAATTTTTTATCAAGTGTGCGCTCCAGCGTAGTTGTCGACTGGGGCCTTATTTGTTACCTGATTATTTTGGTAGCCAAGAAGGGTTCGACTGCCCAGCATCCTGCTCGCTCTTGTAAGGAGATCCGAGACTTTGGGGACTCCATAGGAGACGTGGAGTACTGGATCGACCCAGAGAACAAAAGGAATCCTTTTAGGGTCTACTGTGACATGAAAACTGATGGAAGTGAGCCGAGCGTGAATGACTTACCAACGAAAGGAGTTTAGTACGTCTGTTGCGTACACGTCACAATGGAGATTAAGAATTTTGAAGTAATTAAGGTGCCATGCAAAACTTAAAATATACAAGAAAAACATCAACGATAAAACTTAAACAAATGATTTTAGACGAAGTAAGATCTAGTGAAAATCTTAAAGAATATGCATTATGGCGAGCGAAAAGAAAGCCAAAGAAATAAAATGTTGGAATTATTAATATCAACACACAAAAAACTCTAAGAGAGTACGAAAATGCTCACGTGTGGTCCTTACTCTAAAGACTGTTTGATAGTGTTGCGTAATGTTTCATTTCAGGAGGCTGGTTACTTGTAGCAAACTTTGTTTTGAACTCTACCTCACCCCCTGACTGGACCGCTGAGTCATCATACCGCGGAATCAGAAACTTTGCCAACAACAAAATGGGTATCTCAGTGAGTGCACTGAAAGAACTCAGGTCACACTTGTCGTTCACTCAGCTACGATTCCACTGCAGTAAGAAACAAGGTCGTACGTTCCACGTGACCACGGTCAGTAACAGCACCGGTGAAGCTGTGGTTGAGTACTTCAGCGGCCAGAAGGATGTGCGTCCCGATTCATGTGGATCTTTTCAGAGAATGGAAGACGACAACTCTAAGTTGGTCATTGAGTGTGAGAGTTGGAGTAATGACGGAAAATGGGGATTTAATGGAGGCGATGTGGAACGGAGGCTGTACACAGGGTTCGCACGCGTTCCACGCAACTATAATTGGAATCTACCATATGGATCCTGGTATTGCGATGATTGGTATCATGACCCCGTTTCGCCAGGAGATTTTTGGAAAATCTATGTGCGCTAAATAATTAGTTCAACCAAATATCAAAACAATGTTTGGTTAAGTTTTTACCCAGGGTGGAACTACAATTTCTCACTCTGTTAAAAGACAAACAAATTGCTTTCAGTCATTCGTTTGTTGACGCACGTCATGGGAGGAAAACCTCGGTTGTAAGATTTTCAGGTTTGCACGATAACCTCAACACTAACTTGTTCTCATAATGATCGGTGTTATATCGCTATACATTTTCTTTTTAATTAAGTAGTGTTATAAAGTAGTTTGTTATATCTTGTATATGCGTTGGCAATTTGCATGATGACAAGGACTATTAAGGATTTTCTAGTGAGAGTAGTGAATATCATTTTATAACAGTATCTGAACTTTGTAGTGGCGCAATTTGTAAGCTATATGTGTCAGCAACCAGGGTTGATTATCTAAGGTGTAAAATATGATTTACAACTTCAATATTCTCACAAATAGAAGTATATTAGTTGAAATAAACTGTTTTCATTGTTAGTGTAATATGGTCAAAAAAAGCTTTTTGCAATGTAGCTTGAGACCCAATTTCACACTGTTTTAAAGAAATCTACACCAAGGTAAATAAGTCAGCTGTCAATTATGAATGAACTAGACTTGCCCCCTCCTGCCTCCTGCAACCTTTTTTAGTCCATTGTGAGGCTCTGGGCAGCGACAATAAAATTCCCCAACGATAAGCATAGAAGCCACACAAAACAGATTACTTCGAAATCGTCAGAACTAGATTACAATAACTTTGTGGCGACTATTTCATAATAGCACTGAGTTATTTGGAACATTAAATCATCACGAGATCGATGATGTGACATGGAAAAGCGAGCTCGAGATGGCTGAGCGAAGTCGTGTAGCTCTTAATTATCAGCCGTTTAGGGATCCTTATGTGGTCTATTCAGTCTCATATCAAACTCAATGTTAACAAAAGCCTATATCAAGTCTCGGCGACCATGCCCCCACCACTGTCTGACTCAAGAACACACAAAATTGGAACCTTTGGCTCGATTACTAAGAGAAGTTTTGAGAGTGACTAATTTTACCAAAAAAATTTAAAAGACGAATATTGAAGCTACTTTATAAGTTATTTTGAAATACCAAAGCTTTAGGATTTAAGGGGTCAAAATTCATTTTTTAAAATTACGATTAGACAATTTCCGAAGGCGTTCAAAGTGTCGTATCACTGTAAGCGCGTAAGAATGGGTCCTAGCTCTTTCGCACACATTCCAATCTCAATTGTATCGCCATATACGAATGGAGCGAGAAATTTCCTTTATTTTGGTATATAATTCGTCTAGTTTCTGACCGATTTAGATGGCCGCTCAAGTCTCAGCACTCTCACTGGTTTTAATTCTGGTCTCAGTTAGCATTCGCGAATAAGCTAAGCTTCCAATCGCAGGCAACAGGCGACAACGAATAAATTTGTTCGAAGTGTCTTTCTCAATTATCTACGAACGACATACAGGCTTCGTGGCTGACTCAGTTTGTCTTTGTGACCCTGTAAATATTCCTGGTGTTCGCGGTGGCGAACAAAGACTTTTGTGCAAACGTTTTAGAAACTCAAGTCGGTAGGTAATAGGCTTCTTCATTAACAACGTCCACATGCATATGCCTTCTGACAGATTTTGCCTTACTCGGGCACTTCATTAACAAAACTGATGTTTTTGACGAGTTTGAATGTCACTTAAAATGTATGGGAAACAGTGGTTGCAAAACATGCAAAGTTCATCCCAATGGCTATAATGGTAAGCTCATTTGTGAGCAGAACAGCAAGAGCAGGCAGATGAAGCCAGGTGATTTTAAACGGAAGAAAGGATCTACGTTGTTTAGCTACGTACTTTAGCTCAGTTTATAACCCATTTACCTTTACTAAATACCATTTTCATTTAATTTACCAGCTGCATTTGAACATTACTATGACATTGGCGCAAAATATTGTCATGAAATGGTTCTTTCAGATCATTAAGTGAAGGTTGCTTTGTACTTTGATTTTTTTGAAAGCTAAGAAAGGTTCGAGCTCCCAACATCCTGCTCGCTTATGCAAGGTGATCCGGGACACTGGGGACTCCATAGGAGACGGGGAGACGGGGACTACTGAGTCAACCCCGAAAGCAATGGAAACCCTTTAAAGGTCCACTGTGACATGACAACTGATGGAGGTAAGCTATTAGAACTAACTTCCGTGTCGAGTGTAAACATATAAGTCCAATTTCAAAAGAAACGTTAAGAGAGAACGGAGTGGATAGAACTATGCGATATTGTCGTAATGATTTTCTTTCTGAGGTCCATATTAAGATTAATTCCTGTAACTAACGGGAAGTAAAATTCATGTATTTGTGTCACAGCATAGGCACGTCATTTGAATACTTGTGCCTCGGACAATTTGCGTCCGTTCGTTAACTAATTGTGGTTATAATGTACCGATCAATTGGAAGCTTCAACATCCCCTCGGGCAACCTTCTCCCCCCATCCCCCCCCCCTCCTCGGCATTTGACCTTGCGAAGATTGATTTGTCAAAAATTACGAGGCAAAGACTGTTCTCAAATGCCCCAATAAATTTTTTTGTTAAAGGAAAAAATAGCAACTGTGACTTTCTACACATTGACTAAGCTTTGAAACCCTCGTAGAACTTTCTTTCTGGGCTATTGGCTCGCGAAAGTAAACTATTTATCTTTAGACACCTCCATATTTAACAATATAACACTTGTGTTTCTATATAAAGACTTGTCGAATGCCTGTAGGTTACCCGGGGGAGGGGGATGTTGAAGCTTCGAATTGATCGGCGCATAATACGTTTGAGTGTAAGGTAACGATGAGCAAAAGAAAATAAGATACAATTAGCATAGTTTCTTTCTTAGAAGGGTTGTGCAATAGGCGACAAGAGCACCGTCAAACTCTCAAGAATTTGCTTAAAAATCATTATTACGGCAAATTCATTTAGTACGAATGGGTGCCATCATTTATGTGATATTTCGTATTCTGCTCCTTCTCTCTGTTTAAAACAGAGAAGACACATGTGTAACATGACTTTGTGTGAACGCCATCTGTTTTCCAGGTGAAATTATCACTCTGTCAAGCTGATCCCAAAAAATTGTTTTCATTTCAATTTCTTCCAAGTTCATTGTTCTCTCTTTCTGTCAGAGAGAAAAACACCTGATTAAAAACTGTTCCAAAACAATTCTTGATTTCACTTGCCATTGTGATAATTGCTTCAAAAAAAAAAAAACTTTTTTTACCTGCAAGGTTTGCAGTGCTTTTTTTCTCTTGTTAAAATTTGTCGAATTTCATGTGTATGTTTTCTCATCACGAAAATCTGTTATTTCTATAACATTTCCACTTACTAAAGAATTCTGTAGGTTTATTTGTTGATGCATCTTCGCTTTGGCCATTGCATGATGGCACTTTTAATTGGAACGAACACCGTCATTTTATTTGGAAATATTTACATTTAGTGGAGATTGAAATTTTCAATTCAAGTTGTAATCACTAGGACCAGGTCCAATATTTGAAAGAACAGTGTATACATCTGAAAACATTAAATACATTGGGTTGAAGGCAAAATTTTTTAATACTAAAGAAAATTGTTTTGTATGAAGCCAGGAGAGCGGGTGTGTATATTGTACAGAGTGAAAAGTAATTTATAAGTTCCCAATTGCCCCAAATATATATATCAGCATGAATAGATTGTATATATTATATGTGTAATATAGTGCGTTTCGACGAGCACGAGTAATCGGTTTCTGTAGAATGTAAAGTTGTCTATGTAGTTGTTTCTGTCCATTTGAGGAAAATACGATAAAATTAAAATTTTTGAACAACCAGGCATGTCTCTAAAAACTTTGGTCCAACGTGTTTATGACCATACACTCGTTTTTTGTAAGAACGTCTAACTTTGGGGCTGAGGTAACTGTCCACCTACCCCTCCCCTAACCCAACATTAACCCTAACTTGTTATCTATTGACTGTTGCTGAGTTAGGGGAGGGGTAGGAGGGCAGTTGCCCAGATACTGATATTGATCCAAAGTTCCTTACGTTAAAACGTACATGAGAAATCAACGGTAAAACGTAAACAAATGATTATAGACCAAGCGATAGTCTCAAAGAATGTGCACCACGGCGAGCGAAAAGAAAGCAAACGAAAACAATGTTGAAATTATTAATGTCAACAGACAAAAAACTGTCTCTAAGAGAGTAGGAAAATGCTGAAGTGTGGTCCTTACTCCAAAGACTGTTTGATAGTATTGCGAAATGTTTCATTCCAGGAGGCTGGCTACTTGTTGCAAACTTTGTTTCGAACTTTACTTCACCCTCACGATTGACCGCTGAGTCATCATACCGCGGAGTCAGAAACTTTACCAACAACAAAATGGGTATCACAGTGAGCGCACTGAAAGAACTCAGGTCACACTTGTCTTTCACTCAGCTACGATTCCACTGCAGTGAGAAACAAGGTCGTACGTTCCGCGTGACCACGGTCAGTAACAGCACCGGTGAAGCTGTGGTTGAGTACTTCAGCGGCCAGACGGATGTGCATCCTGATTCATGTGGGTCTTTTCAGAGAATGGAAGATGACAACTCCAAGTTGGCCATGGAGTGTGAGAGTTTTTTCGCCAGGAGATTTTTGGAAAATCTATGCGCGCTAACTAATTAGTTCAAACAAATATCAAAACAATTTTTGATTGAGTTTTGACCCAGTTTTGAAACAAACAAATTGCGTTCAGTCCTTCGTTTTTTGACGCAATAACTAGTTTCTATGAATTACCTCGACTTCTAAAGACACCAGTCATTATTTTTTCTTGGGGGGAAAGGGGCCTAGAAGTCTGGGAGGATGACATGGATTTCAGGTTTAACTGAGGGGGAATCAGTCGTCGTTTATAGAGTGAAGAGGAAATTGACTGCCAATTAACTGCCAATGATATCATAAGAATTTATAAGTAAATTACCGAGCCTAATGGGAGAATTTGGTAAATTTTATTGTGACACAACCAGAACCCTCCTGACAGAATACAACATAAAGGTGACAGAATAAAACATAAAATATACAAAAAAACAAAACAAAAAAAAGAACTAATAGACAAAAAAAGTGACAGGACATAGCAGGATGCGTTTCTCTAAGAACTTCGACTCAACCAAATATATTGACGACTACCAAAACATCATAAGGGAATCTCTTGTTATTATACATACCGACTAATTTACGAAGGAAAACCGGTTTTAATCGTTGACTTAACGGCGCATGTGTTCGTTGATAAATACTTTGTGCATTTATAAAACAAACGTTTCCAAGATGATCAGGTCCTCATATCTCTGAATATTCCATTCAGATTAGTTTTTGTCCGTTTGTTTATTTCGCACTCGATATCGTGTTATGACAAGTGAACTGAATAATTTATTAGAGTTAGTCCGTTTAAATTTGAATTAGTCCATACAGTCGCTGCTAAATTTTTGAAATGTGTTTGTATTGACATCTAGTGTACATAAGCATTACAGCTCGTCTGTTTCTGACATTGAATGCGAACCAGAGTAAAATTAGCTTAGAGCAATCTAGAGCGCATTTGAACTAAATTTTATACAGTCACACGGAGACGACATTTTTGCACGTACAACTGACACCATACATAGAGCAGTTCATGAGATTAAAACCTCAGTTGTAAGATTTTCATGTTTGTAAGATTTTTCTCAACACTGGTTTGTCCTCATAATGATCGGTGTTATATCGTTATACACTTTCCTTTCAATGAAATAGCGGTATAAAGTAGTTTGTCATATCTTGTATATACGTTGGCAATTTGCATGATGTCAGGGACAATTAAGGATTTTTTTGGGAGAGTATTGAACATCATTATCATTTTAACAGTATCTGAACTTTGTAGTGATGCAATCTATATGCTATATACATATATATGTATGTGTCTGTAATGAGGGTTTGTCATCTAATGTGTGAAATATAATTTAAAACTTCAATATTCTCACAAATAGAAGTATATTGGTTTACATAAACTATTTACATTGTTGGTGTAATATGGTCAAATAAAAGTTTTTTGCGGTGTAGCTTGAGATCCTATTTCACACTGTTTAGAGAAATCTACACCAAGGTAAATAAGTCAGCTGTCAATTATGAATGAACTAAACCTTCCTCCTCCTGCAACTTTTTTTAGTCCATCGTTAGGTTTTGGGCAGTGACAACTCAAATATGCCAAAGATTCGCATAGAAGCCACACAAAACGGATTATCACGGTGTACTTGGAAATTGTCAGAACTACATAACAATAACTTTGTGGCGACTATTTCATAATAGTACTGAGTTATTTGAAAAATAAAATAACCACGAGATCGATTATGTGACATGGAAAAGCGAGATGGCTGAGCGAAGTCGGGTAGCTTTAAATTATCAGCCGTTTAGAGATCATTATGTGGTCTATTCAGTCTTATATCCATATGATAAAGATAAAAGCTTGTTACAATGGGGATCAATCAAGACCCTTTGTGTGGAGGTTTATCAAATCAGTTATCATTCGCGAATAAGCTATTCTTCCAATCGCAGGCAACAGGCGACAGCGAATAAATTTGTTCGACGTGTGTTCTTAAGTATTTACGAACGACATGCAGGCTTCGTGGCTGACTCAGTTTCTCTCAAACGATTTACATAACAGAAACACCATGTACGCTTCGTGGCTGACACAGTTTCTCTTCGTGACTCTTAATGTATCCTTGACCGTTTTGTTCGTTGCGGTGAATAGAGACTTTTTGGAAGCTAAATCAGCTGTCAATAATAAATTAACTAAACTTTCCCCCTGCGGCAACTTTGTTATATCTATTGTGAGGATTTGGGCAGAAACAAACCAAAACTATCATAAAGATAATTTGTGCCCCACCATTATCGAGTTTTTGAGGCATAAACAACCAGGAGATCGCCAGTGTAGAATGGAAAGACCAGTGGGTCTTGGTGAAGTCTGGCGTCTTTAAATGGTTGGCCCGTTGGAGACTATTATTTGGGCCCTTACGAAGTATTTATTTCATATCAATTAAAAGCTTAAGATACCTCCTGTTTTTAAGAAACTATTTTAACTACAAACAATATATCAGCTGTAAATAATGAATGAACTAAACTTCCCCTCTGGTGACTTTGTTAAGTTCTTTGTGAGATCCTACTGGCAGAGATGAAAACCAAACTCAACCACGGTTCGAATAGAAGCAACACCAAACAGATTATGTCAAACGATCGCCCTTGAAAATTTTCATAACTACATTACAATGCATTTGGGATGAATATTTTATCATTGCATAAAGTTGTATGGAGCATTAAGTCACCATTAGAGCGATTATGTGAGAGCCTGGTACCTGGTCGGGTAGCTTTTCATCGTCAATAATGACTCAAAATAAAACCTTTTCATAATGGTAATGTAGGCCTCACTTAGGACGTATTAATAAGCGGGTTTATGAAACTAGTTATTAATAATAAACAAGTTTTCTTTCGCAAACAACGAGCGACCACAACCCATGGTGTTCACCGTGACAATTGTACAAATACTCGCGAACGATTCGCATAACAGAAACACCATGCACGCTTCGCGGCAGACACAGTTTGTCTTCGTGACTCTTAATGTATTCTTCTTGACCGTTTTGTTCGTTGCGGTGAACAGAAACTTTTTGGAAACTGAACTTAAGTTGATAAATCAGCTGTCAATGATGAACTAAACTTTCCCCCTGCGGCAACCTTTTATATCCATTGTGAGGATCTGGGCAAAAAACAAATCAACTCGTCAACACACCAAAGGACGAAAATACCAAAAAAATTAAAATAAAAAATGATTGTATGAATTGCTTTGAGTTGCCTTCTTTGGCTTTTATAGTTATTATTTTTGTCTGACAGATTATTATTTTTTTAATCCTTGTGGAATATGATGTAAACAGCGGTTCAAACTAGTACTAAAAGATTCTGTCTTATTTTGCCCACGGCGGAGAAGTGGTGACTACTGAATCATTTATGATCCGAAAATTGTTTTCCTGTTTAGTAAAATTACTACATGCTGCAAATGAAAGAAATACCCCGGGTGATTTATTTGCCGCTGAGTGTTTTGACCAGCTATTATCAACAAATAGCCTCGACTTGGTATTCAATGTTATTCTAAGGTAGACTAGCATTTTTGTAGCAGCTGCGTAGAGCAAACGACCTGAAGCTCGTTGAATGCCAAAAAAATATTATGCTTCCTCGGAGGTTGAAGCAATTGGTCTTTGTATCTTTTCACATTTTTCTGGCAGTGTTGTTCGTTGTGGCGAACAATGACTTTTGTGCAAGCGTTTTTGAAACTCAAGTTGGTAAGTAATAACTCGATCAGAACCTGCGGCTTCATTTTTTTATAGTTAATGTTTCTACATCGCCAATTTCCTATTGCAAAATTTTCAGATTTCACTTTACTTGATCATGTCATCAACAAAACTGATGTTGCCGATGAGTTTGAATGTCAGCTAAAATGTATGGGAAACAACAGTTGCAAGTCGTTTAATGTTCATCGCAATAATGCGAAGAAGCTTTGCGAGCTCAACAACAAAACCCGGCAGATGAAGCCAGGTGATTTTCAACGGAAGAAAGGATCTACATACTATGGTTCAGTTCAGGTGAGTTGAAAATATATTTCTGGTGTGCACATATTCCTTTTTATATTCGAGAGCGGCACAAGGCGAAGATAAAGAAAAAAAAAATCTCTCTGATAATCCGTTTTATGCTAGAAATTTGGAGCACCTTTACCCTTTTTTAACAACTTTCATTATCATCATAAATTCATCCTCATTTTCATAATTATCATTTTTTTATTGTGCAAAGAAGAAAGCTAACTGAGAAAATTCAACTGCAAAAGCTCTTACATGGAGTTATGACGCAGTTCGTTAATGTTTCCTTCTTTTGTGTTGATCAATTTTTAGAGCGTGTGTAATTATACATGGTCTTGTTATACTTGGTTTTGCTCACTGTCTTCCCGAAAAGAATGTATAAACTAACCTCTTATCCTACTCTTTAAACCTGGCAATAGAAATCTAAAGAAGTATCCCAAGGCCAATGGAGATTGATTAACGATTCATTGGCCTCCCTTTGCTTTTCTTACATCTGAAATGAAAAAAACGAAAAGTCGTCTTATGCTGTTAACCACTACTCGAAGTTAAAAATATAAATCAAAGGAACTCAAATAATCACCTTATTGAATACCTATCCTAAAAACCGACGAAAAACAACACGAAGAAACATCTGTATGTAATACGTTTTGATAAAACCAACGCAGGGCACTTGTGTGGATGTTTCTCGTCAGCGAAGCGGCAAAACGAAGGGCGGCCAGTGTCATCCGAACTACAAAGGAAAATTGTGCCAAACACGTAAGTGATAAATATCCTTTAACCTAAGAATAACTATTTAATTGGTTCTTACCTATGCTCCATTGGAGGACAGACGCATAAAGGCCTCATCATTCACAAGTTTCGCTTCTTTGTTAAAAACAAATTGGTTCCATTTTTCCGTGTGTTCAGTTGTTAGTTACATTCTCCCCTAAGAATCAGTCATTAGGATTAAGGAATTAAAGAATTAAATGATCACCTACGAGACAAGCCGTTGATCGTTAAGCAAAGACTCACTGTCATTACCGCAGGCAATGTGTAACGAAAAGCGTAGATAATATGAGTATTGATGTAAAGGGTTAAAGCGCACTTATAGATTTTGTTGATGATAATAAGAGCTGCGATTTAGGAACTAAATTTGATCTCTTTCTTTGAAAATTATCAAGTGAGACTTGGCCAGTCTGCTGCAAATCCTGGAAAATCTTGCAAGGATATTCTTGATTCAAAAGACTCTGAAGGAGATGGGGAATACTGGATCGACCCTGAGGGCAAAGGAAATCCTTTGAAGGTCTACTGTGATATGAAAACTGACGGAGGTAGGTGAATGGTGCCAAGAGATGATACCGCATAAAAATATGCATCGCAATCTGTCATGTCCTAATTATCTACTTATCAAAAAAAAAAAAAAAGTATTTTGGTGAGTAAAGAACGATCTAAATGTCAAGTCTATTCCTTGAGCAGTTTACATTCAATTTACCGTTTTTCCTTTGTACATCATATTTTTTCCAATTTGATATGCGCATTGGAAATCTATTATGGAATTTCTGCACTAATTTTTTATCAAGTGTGTGCTCCAGCGGAGTTGTCGACTGGGGCCTTATTTGTTACCTGATTATTTTGGTAGCCAATAAGGGTTCGACTGCCTAGCATCCTGCTCGCTCTTGTAAGGAGATCCGAGACTTTGGGGACTCCATAGGAGACGTGGAGTACTGGATCGACCCAGAGAACAAAAGGAATCCTTTTAGGGTCTACTGTATCATGAAAACTGATGGAAGTGAGCCGAGCGTGAATGACTTACCAACGAAAGGAGTTTAGTGCGTCTGTTGCGTACACGTCACAATAGAGATTAAGAATTTTGAAGTAATTAAGGTGCCATGCAAAACTTAAAATATACAAGAAAAAAATCAACGATAAAACTTAAACAAATGATTTTAGACGAAGGAAGATCTAGTGAAAATCTTAAAGAATATGCATTATGGCGAGCGAAAAGAAAGCAAAGAAATAAAATGTTGGAATTATAAATATCAACACACAAAAAACTCTAAGAGAGTACGAAAATGCTCACGTGTGGTCCTTACTCTAAAGACTGTTTGATAGTGTTGCGTAATGTTTCATTTCAGGAGGCTGGTTACTTGTAGCAAACTTTGTTTTGAACTCTACTTCACCCCTTAACTGGACCGCTGAGTCATCATACCGCGGAATCAGAAACTTTACTAACAACAAAATGGGTATCACAGTGAGTGCACTGAAAGAACTCAGGTCACACTTGCCTTTCACTCAGCTACGATTCCACTGCAGTAAGAAACAAGGTCGTACGTTCCACGTGACCACGGTCAATAACAGCACCGGTGAAGCTGTGGTTGAGTACTTCAGCGGCCAGACGTATGTACGTCCCGATTCATGTGGGTCTTTTCAGAGAATGGAAGACGACAACTCTAAGTTGGTCATTGAGTGTGAGAGTTGGAATAATGACGGAAAATGGGGATTTAATGGAGGCGATGTCGAATGGAGGCTGTACAGGGGGGTTGCACGCGTTCCACGCAACTATCGTTGGAATCTACTATATGGATCCTGGTATTGCGATGATTGGTATCATGTCCCCGTTTCGCCAGGAGATTTTTGGAAAATCTATGTGCGCTAAATAATTAGTTCAACCAAATATCAAAACAATGTTTGGTTAAGTTTTGACCCAGGGTGGAACTACAATTTCTCACTCTGTAAAAAGACAAACAAATTGCTTTCAGTCATTCGTTTGTTGACGCACGTCATGGGATGAAAACCTCGGTTGTAAGATTTTCAGGTTTGCACGATAACCTCAACACTAGCTTGTTCTCATAAGGATCGGTGTTATATCGCTATACATTTTCTTTTTTAATTAAGTAGTGTTATAAAGTAGTTTGTTATATCTTGTATATGCGTTGGCAATTTGCATGATGACAAGGACTATTAAGGATTTTCTCGTGAGAGTAGTGAATATCATTTTATAACAGTATCCGAACTTTGTAGTGGCGCAATTTGTAAGCTATATTTGTCTGCAACGAGGGTTGATTATCTAGGGTGTAAAATATGATTTACAACTTCAATATTCTCACAAATAGAAGTATATTGGTTGAAATAAACTGTTTTCATTGTTAGTGTAATATGGTCAAAAAAAGCTTTTTGCAATGTAGCTTGAGACCCAATTTCACACTGTTTTAAAAGAAATCTACACCAAGGTAAATAAGTCAGCTGTCAATTATGAATGAACTAGACTTGCCCGCTCCTGCAACCTTTTTTAGTACATTGTGAGGCTCTGGGCAGTGACAATAAAATTCCCCAACGATAAGCATAGAAGGCACACAGTCTCATATCAAACTCAATGTTAACAAAAGCCTATATCAAGTCTCGGCGACCATGCCCCCACCACTGTCTGACTCAAGAACACACAAAATTGGAACCTTTGGCTCGATTACTAAGAGAAGTTTTTAGAGTGACTAGTTTTACCAAAAAAATTTAAAAGACTAATATTAAAGCTACTTTATAAGTTATTATGAAATACCAAAGCTTTAGGATTTAAGGGGTCAAAATTCATTTTTTAAAATTACGATTAGACAATTTCCGAAGGCGTTCAAAGTGTCGTATCACTGTTAGCGCGTAAGAATGGGTCCTAGCTCTTTCGCACATATTCCAATCTGAATTGTACCGCTATCTACGAATGGAGCGGGAAAATTCCTTTATTTTGGTACATAATTCGTCTAGTTTCCGACCGATTTAGATGGGTCAAATGGCCGCTCAAGTCTCAGCACTCTCACTGGTTTTAATTCTGGTCTTCTGGGAATCCATAAAAGCCGTGTGAGAGAGATCAGAGGGTCCAAAAACATAATTTTCCGGCCCCTCGTTACTTTCGTTTACATGCAGTATTAACAAGTAAGTAGTCTCATAAATGAATTAAGCGATTTTATTTTTTTCCTTTTATTCTCAGAGATACGGAATTTCATATAATTCTAAAATTTTTTTGCTAGTAAGTCTCGAATATGTCTGATACTGGTCGTCTTTACCAATTTTTCAGCCATCTTTTCCACACAATTGCCAAAGAGGATGGAGAGGGAAGTGGCGAATCTACCTTCGCTGCATTTGTGGAGAAAATCATGCAACAAACGTGCATTAGAGGCATCGTCGTCAACAATCGAAGAACAAACGTCTCAAGGAAAAAGACTGGGACCATGTGTGCAAAGCCAAAGCGAGCAAAGAGGAAAAGTGAGGGTTTTGGTGTCAAGAGCCGTCACTGACAAGCGGCGTGACGCAATTTTTTCCGTCAAGTTCCTTTATCACGAGCTGGGTAATTATTTTATAGAAAACGAGCGCTAGTGGAATATTCGGAGAATGAAATTACCAAGCGAAAGAAACTTGGGGAAGAGCTCGAAGACTCAGAGTGAAGCTGCAAGTATCACCAAAAAAAATTCTAAAGATTTCAACGTGGTGAATTTTCTCTCGCTTTGCGACTTTGTCTACGGCTGTCACAACGACAGGATGAAAGTTTACGGTCGTTGGTTTTGTTCTTGTCTTCTTTCTCAATAAAAGCCCTGTTGAAAAGAGCTCGTCGGAGTATCGTTTTGGGATTTTTCTTTCTCTTTCAGCCGCCATGTATACAAATGTAAATTGTCAATAATGCGATTGATACTCTAATGCGCAAGCGCAGTAAGGAAAGCGTTGTCCGCGCCAGCCTGGACGCTTATTAGAGCAAACGTTCGCGCTTATGGGAAATAAGTTTGATATGTATAACCATATAATAGAAGTAAAAGTTTGTTACAATGGGGATCAATTTAGACCTTTACTGTGGGGGTTTATCAAATCAGTTAGCATTCGCGAATAAGCTAAGCTTCCAATCGCAGGCAACAGGCGACAACGAATAAATTTGCTCGAAGTGTCTTTCTCAATTATCTACGAACGACATACAGGCTTCGTGGCTGACTCAGTTTGTCTTTGTGACCCTGTAAATATTCCTGGTGTTCACGGTGGCGAACAAAGACTTTTGTGCAAACGTTTTTGAAACTCAAGTCGGTAAGTAATAGGCTTCTTCATTAACAACGTCCACATGCATATGCCTTCTAACAGATTTTGCCTTACTCGGGCACTTTATTAACAAAACTGATGTTTTGACGAGTTTGAAGGTCACTTAAAATGTATAGGAAACAGTGGTTGCAAAACATGCAAAGTTCATCCCAATGGCTTTGATGGTAAGCTCATTTGTGAGCAGAACAGCAAGAGCAGGCAGATGAAGCCAGGTGATTTTAAACGGAAGAAAGGATCTACGTTGTTTAGCTACGTACTTTAGCTCAGTTTATAACCCATTTACCTTTACTAAATACCATTTTCGTTTAATTTACCAGCTGCATTTGAACATTACTATTACATTGGCGCAAAATATTGTCATGAAATGGTTCTTTCAGATCATTAAGTGAAGGTTGCTTTGTACTTTGATTTTTTTGGAAGCTAAGAAAGGTTCGAGCTCCCAACATCCTGCTCGCTTATGCAAGGTGATCCGGGACACTGGGGACTCCATAGGAGACGGGGAGACGGGGACTACTGAATCAAACCCGAAAGCAATGGAAACCCTTTAAAGGTCCACTGTGACATGACAACTGATGGAGGTAAGCTATTAGAATTAACTTCCGTGTCGAGTGTAAACATACGAGTCCAATTTCAAAAGAAACGTTAAGAGAGAACGGAGTGGATAGAGCTATGCGATATTGTCGTAATGATTTTCTTTCTGAGGTCCATATTAAGATTACTTCCTGTCACGAACGGGAAGTAAAAGTCATGTATTTGTGTCACAGCATAGGCACGTCATTTGAATACTTGTGCCTCGGACAATTTGCGTCCGTTCGTTAACTAATTGTGGTTATGATGTACCGATCAATTCGAAGCTTCAACACCCCGTCGGGCAACCTTCCCCCCCCCTCCCCCCCCCCCGGCATTTGACCTTGAGAAGATTGATTTGTTAAAAATCCCGCCCACGGGGCAAAGACTGTTCTCAAATGCCCCAACAAATTTTTTTATTAAAGGAAAATTAGCAACTGTGACTTTCTACACATTGACTTAGCTTTGAAACCTAGACCTCGTAGAACTTTCTTTCTGAGCCATTGGCTCGCGAAAGTAAACTATTTATTTTTTAGACACCTCCATATTTAACAATATAACACTTGTGTTTCTATATAAAGACTTGTCGAATGCCTGTAGGTTACCCGGGGGAGGGGGATGCTGAAGCTTCGAACTGAACGGTGCATAATACGTTTGAGTGTAAGGTAACGATGAGCAAAAGGAAAATAAGATACAATTAGCATAGTTTCTTTCTTAAAAGGGTTGTGCATTAGGCGACAAGAGCACCGTCAAACTCTCAAGAATTTGCTTAAAAATCATTATTACGGCAAATTCATTTAGTACGAATGGGTGCCATCATTTTTGTGATATTTCGTATTCTGCTCCTTCTCTCTGTTTAAAACAGAGAAGACACATGTGTAACATGACTTTGTGTGAACGCCGTCTGTTTTCCAGGTGAAATTATCACTCTGTCAAGCTGATCCCAAAAAATTGTTTTCATTTCAATTTCTTCCAAGTTCATTGTTCTCTCTTTCTGTCAGAGAGAAAAACACCTGATTAAAAACTGTTCCAAAACAATTTTGATTCCTTCTTGCCATTGTGCCATTATGATAATTGTTTCAAAAAAAAAAAAAACTTTTTACCTGCAAGGTTTGCAGTGCTTTTTTTCTCTTGTTAAAATTTGTCGAATTTCATGTGTATGTTTTCTCATCACGAAAATTTGTTATTTCTATAACATTTCCACTTACTAAAGAATTCTGTAGGTTTATTTGTTGATGCATCTTCGCTTTGGCCATTGCATGATGGCTCTTTTAGTTGGAATGAACACAGTCACTTTATTTGGAAACATTTACATTCGGTGGAGATTGAAATTTTCAATTCAAGTTGATTTTTTTCAAGTTTCAAGATTTTGATTTCAAGTTGAAATTCAACCAGGTCCAATACTTGAAAGAACAGTGTATACATCTGAAAACGTTGAATACATTGGTTTGAAGGCAAAATTTTTTAATACTAAAGAAAATTGTTTTGTAGAAACCCAGAGAGGAATGAAAATCTTCATGAAGCCAGGAGAGCGGGTGTGTATATTGTACAGAGTGAAAAGTAATTTATAAGTTCCAAAATTGCCCCAAATATATATATCAGCATGAATAGATTGTATATATCATATGTGTAATATAGTGCGTTTCGACGAGCTCGAGTAATCGGTTTCTGTAGAATGTAAAGTTGTCTATGTAGTTGTGTCTGTCCATTTGAGGAAAATACGATAAAATTAAAATTTTTGAACAACCAGGCATGTCTCTAAAAACTTTGGTCCAACGTGTTTATGACCATACACTCGTTTTTTGTAAGAACGTCTAACTTTGGGGCTGAGGTAACTGTCCACCTACCCCTCCCCTAACCCAACATTAACCCTAACTTGTTATCTATTGACTGTTGCTGAGTTAGGGGAGGGGTAGGATGGCAGTTGCCCAGATACTGATATTGATCCAAAGTTCCTTACGTTAAAACGTACATGAGAAATCAACGGTAAAACGTAAACAAATGATTATAGACCAAGCGATAGTCTCAAAGAATGTGCACCATGGCGAGCGAAAAGAAAGCAAAGGAAAACAATGTTGAAATTATTCATGTCAACACACAAAAAACTGTCTCCGTCAATACTATCAAACAGTCCAAAGACTGTTTGATAGTATTGCGAAATGTTTCATTCCAGAAGGCTGGCTACTTGTTGAAAACTTTGTTTCGAACTTTACTTCACCCTCACGCTGGACCGCTGAGTCATCATACCGCGGAGTCAGAAACTTTACCAACAACAAAATGGGTATCACAGTGAGCGCACTGAAAGAACTCAGGTCACACTTGTCTTTCACTCAGCTGAGATTCCACTGCAGTAAGAAAAAAGGTCGTACGTTCCGCGTGACCACGGTCAGTAACAGCACCGGTGAAGCTGTGATTGAGTACTTCAGCGGCCAGACGGAAGAGCATCCTGATTCATGTGGGTCTTTTCAGAGAATGGAAGATGACAACTCCAAGTCATGGAGTGTAAGAGTTTTTTCGCTAGGAGATTTTTGGAAAATCTATGCGCGCTAACGAATTAGTTCAAACAAATATCAAAACAATTTTTGATTGAGTTTTGACCCAGTTTTGAAACAAACAAATTGCGTTCAGTCCTTCGTTTTTTGACGCAATAACTAGTTTCTATGAATTACCTCGACTTCTAAAGACACCAGTCATTATTTTTTTTGGGGGCGAAAGGGGCCTAGAAGTCTGGGAGGATCACATGGATTTCAGGTTGAACTGAGGGGGAATCAGTCGTCGTTTATAGAGTGAAGAGGAAATTGACTGCCAATTAACTGCCAATGATATCATAAGAATCTATAAGTAAATTACCGTGCCTAATGGGAGAATTTGGTAAATTTTATTGTCACACAACCAGAACGCTCCTGACAGAATACAACATAAAGCTGACAGAATACAACATAAAATATACAAAAAAACAAAACAAAAAAAGAACTAATAGACGAAAAAAGTGACAGGACATAACAGGATGCGTTTCTCTAAGAACTTCGACTCAACCAAATATATTGACGACTACCAAAATATCATAAGGGAATCTCTTGCTATTATATATACCGACTAATTTACGAAGGAAAACCAGTTTTAATCGTTGACTTAACAGCGCATGTGTTCGTTGATAAATACTTTGTGCATTTATAAAACAAACGTTTCCAAGATGATCAGGTCCTCATATCTCTGAATATTCCATTCAGATTAGTTTTTGTCCGTTTGTTTATTTCGCACTCGATATCGTGTTATGACAAGTGAACTAAATAATTTATTAGAGTTAGTCCGTTTAAATTTGAATTAGTCCATACAGTCGCTGCTAAATTTTTGAAATGTGTTTGTATTGACATCTAGTGTACATAAGCATTACAGCTCGTCTGTTTCTGACATTGAATGCGAACCAGAGTAAAATTAGCTTAGAGCAATCTAGAGCGCATTTGAACTAAATTTTATACAGTCACACGGAGACGACATTTTTGCACGTACAACTGACACCATACATAGAGCAGTTCATGAGATTAAAACCTCAGTTGTAAGATTTTCATGTTTGTAAGATTTTTCTCAACACTGGTTTGTCCTCATAATGATCGGTGTTATATCGTTATACACTTTCCTTTCAATGAAATAGCGATATAAAGTAGTTTGTCATATCTTGTATATACGTTGGCAATTTGCATGATGTCAGGGACAATTAAGGATTTTTTTGGGAGAGTATTGAACATCATTATCATTATAGCAGTATCTGAACTTTGTAGTGATGCAGTCTATATGCTATATACATACATATGTATGTGTCTGTAATGAGGGTTTGTCATCTAATGTGTGAAATATAATTTAAAGCTTCAATATTCTCACAAATAGAATTATATTGGTTTACATAAACTATTTACATTGTTGGTGTAATATGGTCAAATAAAAGTTTTTTGCAATGTAGCTTGAGATCCTATTTCACACTGTTTAGAGAAATCTACACCAAGGTAAATAAGTCAGCTGTCAATTATGAATGAACTAAACCTTCCCCCTCCCGCAACTTTTTTTTTAGTCCATCGTTAGGTTTTGGGCAGTGACAACTCAAATATACCAAAGATTCGCATAGAAGCCACACAAAACGGATTATCACAGTGTACTTGGAAATTGTCAGAACTACATAACAATAACTTTGTGGCGACTATTTCATAATAGTACCTAGTTCTTTGAAAAATAAAATAACCACGAGATCGATTATGTGACATGGAAAAGCGAGATGGCTGAGCGAAGTCGGGTAGCTTTTAATTATCAGCCGTTTAATAACATATGTGGTCTATTCAGTCTTATATCCATATGATAAAGATAAAAGCTTGTTACAATGGGGATCAGTCAAGACCCTTTGTGTGGAGGTTTATCAAATCAGTTATCATTCGCGAATAAGCTATTCTTCCAATCGCAGGCAAGTAGCCTCGACTTGTATAAAATGTTATTCTTAGGTGGACTAGCTCTTTGGTAGCAGCTGCTTAAAGCAAATTAAACGACCTGAAACTCGTTGAATGCTTTGCAAGTGAGCGAAAAATATTGTAGAGACAGCCAAGCGGGAAAAACATCAAGTACCTAAGCAGAATAGATAACTCTGAAAAATCTACACCACTCTTAAAAAGGTTCTTACGATTTCGTAGTGAAACGCTTTTCTTACAAGCCTGATTTAACAACAGACCCCTCTAAAAATACCTCTGTAACCGAATGCTTAATTGAAAATATCATTCAAAGAAACTTCTACCATGACACAATCCAAAAAGACTTATTTACAACTTGTTTTATTTAACCCATACCAGGGCACTTGTGCCGACGTTTTCAATGAGCGAAACGGTAAAACCAAGAGCAGTCAGTGTCACGCGAGATACACGCGAGAGAGATGGTGTCAAACACGTATGCTATCCATTGATTCTCCTGCATTTAAATCAGCATGTCATCAAAAAGATCCATCCTTACGCCGCCCTGGAGCACCTAATTCTGTTTTGAGTTGGTTAATTATATCTCCTGGCTTTCATAATATCCTGGCATAATTTCAAGGGTGAAAGTCTAGTTTGACTGATAAAGCACAATCCCCCTATACTAGCAGCGCCTTTTTTTAAGTTTTGAACTGTTTATTTATCAACCTCGTAAGTAATGATAATCTGTTGATAACACTTAATTGGTCTATGAATTCACTCGCGCTATCCTATAATGTTGAAACGTTTAGGTAAAACCGTCGTGACAAACATTCCGCTTTTTTGAGGCAATTAAGTTTAATTCTTTGGCTAAGTATGTGTTTATCCTGTCAGTTCTGCGACTCACTAACTGCTTAACGAACAAAAATCTTCCAAAAGTCTCCATTTGACAAAGTTATAAAGGTACGGTCGTTCTTGTCGTCGCACAGGCGATCGCTTGAGGTCGTCATCCAGTGATAGTGAGTAGCAACAAATGCAATGAAATGGTATAAACTTGGTTTTCCTTTATCCCCCCACTTCCCTACGAAGTTCGAAGATCCGTCGTTTCCCCATCGGGTACAATTCCTGGCGAGATAAGAGTTGTCATCTTTCATTCTAAAAAAAGAGAGACACGAGTCTGGCTGGGTGTTCGTCTGACCGCTGAAATACTGGACTACAGCTTCACCAGAGCTGTTAGCGGCAGTGGTCACGTGGAACGTACGTCCCTGTTGTTTGCTGCAATGGAATCTCATCTGAGTAAAAGACAAGTGTCTTCTAAGTTCCTTCATGGCGCTAATTGTGATACCCATTTTATGATTGGTGAATTTGCTGATCCCGCGGTACGATGGCTCAGCTGTCCAAGTGGGAGGAGTAGTCGAGTTATCTACTACAAAGATGGATGTGAGAAGCCAGCCTCCTAGAAATGTTAAATAAACCATACATCTCACATCAATTCTAAAGTATTCTAGGTATAGAGATGCGAAATCTTGTGGATTTGTTATATGTAAAATAGTGTTTGTATCTCTATTCGTCTTATTGACTTGGACATGACAGATTGCTATGCATATTTTTATATGGTATCATCTCTTAGTACCATTCACCTACCTCCGTCAGTTTTCATATCACAGTACACCTTCAAAGGGTTTCCGTTGCCCTCGGGATCGATCCAATATTCCCCATCTCCTTTAGAGTCATTTGATTCAAGAATATGCTTGCAAGATTTTCCAGGATTTGCAGCAAAATGGCCAAGTCTCACTTGATAATTTTCAGAGAAAGAGATCAAATTTAGTTTCTAAATCGCCGCTCTTATTATCATCAACACAATCTACAAGTGCACTTTAACCCTTTACATCAATACTCATATTCTCTATACTTTTAAGTAAGTTTAAGTAAGTAAGTTAGTAAGTATTTGCATGAACAGAAATACATCTAGCACATACACATATAACGGGAAAAAAATACAGCGGTTGTAGGGCTGTTTGCAAGGAAACCAGCACTGTATTTGGAATGTTTGAGAAGTGATAGCAGATTAAATAATTCAAAATTATTTCCCACATAAAATAACTTCACAAGTGTTTCGAGTAAACCTACCGGAACAGCACCATTGTAAATATATCCCTGCTTGTGTTTAAAGTCGCCAGGTTTGGATATTCGCGATTGGTTATTTAACTCACAGATTTGATACTTAAGCCTACTTTTTTTGGCTTGAAGATTATATGAATGACAGGTGTCATTTGCCATGCACTTCAAAGCACACTCTGAGTAGTCGGAAACGTTGAATTTGATGAAATCGTGACCAAATAAGGCATACCCTGTGATAATGAAGGCAAAATTAGTTCTGACAAAAAGAAACTCGAAACGAATTTTCATACCACTTGCAATTGGCTTATTAAGAAAACAAGTCAATTTCGTCATAGTGCTTTTTTCAATATTTTTCTTCGTTATTTTATTATTCCTGTGCTTATTTATCCCTGTAGTTACATGTCTTATTGTGCTCAAGATAGTAAGTCGCCTGTACAAAAACAAACGAACGATGCGAAGCAGCGCAAAGCGATAAAAGGCGATGAAGACCGAAACAAGCTGCATCTTCATTAGACTATAACAGACATATGAAATAAATGAAGCACACAGTATAAGACTATTTAGCAAAAGCTGCAAGATCACCAAAAGCTACGGTAACCTAAAAAAACGGAAAGCGCGAACAAAAAGAATTACGCAATCCTGGTGCCTATAATCACTTTGTTGCTCCACAAAGTGAAACCTGAATCGTGGAACCCAAAACTTCAAATTTTGTAGATGAACTTTGAAGGTCCACACAACTCAAATCAACTGAAATCATCTTCATTGAAATTTTCATCGCATCCTAACTTACCGTCATGGCTTTCGAACACAACTGAACAGCTCTCCGAATGTCGTGCAACAGGGAAGACAAGGTACGGTCTCAAAAAAAACAAGAGAAATGGAATGTAGATGCCAAGTAACATCTTTAGTGAGGAATACCTCGAGGAAACTGGAACAAACAAGATAATGCAACTCACTAAATGGCATTTGACACAACTGGAGCAAACAAGATAAGGTAACTCACTAAATGGCATTTGACACAAGTTTATAAGATACGTCAAACAAACCCACACACTTTAAAATGGCAACAGTCCCAAAATGTTTTCTTTCCTTAACAAGCGTCTGGCTAAATAACATTCCTAGCACAGTAGAAAACAGTATCAGCAAATAGCGTTTTTTTTCTAAAAAACTGCAACCGATAGTGGGTGATACACATTTTTTTTCCAATCTCTTTACACCTCTTAACTCTGTGAGGAAAATTCTTACATTATTTAAAAAAAATCAGTGTCCATGACTACAAAACAAGCCTGTGAGATGATTCTAAGGCAGTTTTAGATTAAAACTGGCCAATAAATTCTTTATAATTATTGAAAAAAAACTGTAGTTCTGGATTAGGATTTACCTCAGAGCTCTAGAGAGTATTGGAAACACAGATCTCCACAAGTAGAAGTTGTTTCAGACTATGGCGTTTCTCGTGGTTAGTCAGAAAAATTACCAAAATATTATATTCAATCAGTTTGTTGAATTAAGAAACGAAATTTTCGGAGTTGGCAAGACAACAGTTCGAAAATGTTAACCTTTTTCCTCTTACAAACTTACACGTACAATTTGAGAGGTACTCGCTATCCGGTCAGAAAGGAGAAATCTTTCGACTTTTCACGAAAAACTTATGACAAATTATATTGCCAAGAAACAATGGATCTTTTACTTTCCTAGCGCAGCTCTGAGTGTCGTCTGCCAACCAATCTAAGTAGTAATGCATCAGTGACAATAGAAAATTGCAGTGGGTGTTTTCGAATTTTATTGAAAATATGGCTTCCCATATGTTAGATTGAAGATGAGTCTCAAAATAATTAATAGTTAATTTCGTTCATTACTGCATAGAAAACTAAACTCAGGAAAATAACGAAAAGCACGAACAAAAAGAATTACGTCTTCCTGGCGTTTCTCGTGGTTAGTCAGAAAAATTACCAAAATTTCATATTCGATGAGTTTGCTGAATCAAAAATCGGAATTTTTTTCGGAATTCGCAAACAGTCTTCGGAGCTGGTCAGACAACAGTTTGAAAGTGCTGACCTCTTTCCACCCTGAAACTTACACATACAATTAGAAAGGGACTCGGTAACCGGTCAGAAAGGAGAAATCTTTCAACTTTCCACGAAAAACTTATGGCAAATTATGTTGCCAAGAAACAATAGATCTTTTACTATCCCACGCAGCTCTGAGTGTCGTCTGCCAACCAATCTAAGTAGTAATGCATCAGTGACAATAGAAAATTGATCTAGAACTTCAAGTTATTCATTTGAAGTTTTTTTTTTCGCATCAGCCTTTGTGAAACCTGGTTTTTTTTTCTTTACAATCATCAGACTTCATTCTCTCATCGCCACGCTAATTAAGCTGTGCAGTGGGTGTTTCCAAAAACTCTAAATTTTATTAAAAACGTTGCTTGCCATATGTTAGATTGAAGATGAGTCTCAAAATAATTAATAGTTAATTTCGTTTATTATAGTCGGGTGAAAGTTGGTCTGCTCGATGAAGGAAAGAAACATATTTTATCCAGCATTATTTCCACTATCACCATCTGAAATCACAGATAGATAGTTACTCAAAGAACTCCAGATATTGTTGACTATCTTGCAAGCTAAAACTGAGAACACGAGATTCTGAGGCCGAAAAAAAACTGCGAACTTTAAGTATTTAGACAGCTGTTCGGTAAATCCATAATCTACTTTTTCTTTGGCTTTTATAGTTCTTCTTATATTATCTGACAGATTTTTTTTTAAAATCCTTGTGGAGTAAGATGAAAACAGCGGTTCAAACTACTCCCGAAAGATTCTGTCGTATTTTGCCAACGGCGAAGAATAAGTGAAAAACTTAATCATTTATGATCCCAACATTTTCTTCATGTAAAATTGCTACATGCTGGAAATGAAAGAAATACCCCGGGTGATTTTCTTGCTGCTGAGTGTTTTGACCAGCTATTGTCAACAAATAGCCTCGACTTGGTATTCGATGTTATTCTTAGGTAGACTAGCTTTTTGGCAGCAGCTGCTTAAAGCAAACGACCTGAAGGTCGTTGAATGCTTTGCAAGTGAGAAAAAAAATATTATGCTTTCTCGGAGGTTGAAGCAACTGGTCTATGTATCTTTTCACATCTTTGTGGTTGTGTTGTTCGTTGTGGCGAACAATGACTTTTATGCAAGCGTTTTTGAAACTCAAGTTGGTAAGTAATAACTCGATCATAACACGCAGCTTCATCTTTTTAATGGTTAATGTTTCTGCATCGACAATTTTACCTTGCAAATGTTTCAGATTTCACTTTACTTGATCACGTTATCAACAAAACCGATGTCGCCGATGAGTTTGAATGTCAGCTTGAATGTATAGGAAACAACAGTTGCAAGTCGTTTAATGTTCATCGCAATGGCAATAATACGAAGAGGCTTTGTGAGCTCAACAACATAACCCGGCAGATAAAGCCAGGAGATTTTAAACGGAAGAAAGGATCTACATGCTATGATTCAGTTCAGGCAGGTTTAAAGTATGTTTCTGGTGTGCAGGCATATTCCTCTCCATTCGAGAGAGGCATAAGGCGACGATGAACAAACAAAAATATCCGTTTTATGCCAGAAATTTGGGGCACCGTTACCCTTTTTCTACCATCATTATCATCATAAACTCTTCCTAATTTTCATAGCTACCATCCCTTTATGGTGCAAAGAAGAACGGCTCACTGAGAAAATTCAACTGCAGAAGCTCTTAGAATCCAAGTTTAGAGCGTGTGTGTAATTTTACATGGTCTTGTTATTCTTAGTTTTACTCACTGTATTAAACAAAAATAAAAAAAAAAAGAAATAAAAAAATTACCACTCATTCTAATCTTTAAACCTGGCAACAGATCAGTACAAAGAATTATCCCAAGGCTCGTGGAGATTGATTAACGATTCATTGACCTCCTTTTTTCGTTTCTTGTTTTTCTTACATCTGAAATGAAAAAACGAAAGGAGTTCTATGCTGTTAACCGCTACTCGTGAGGCGTGAGTAGTCCAGTGGTCAGTGTGCTGGACTCTGGGTCCGACGGCCCGGGTTCAAGTCCTGGCTGGGGCATGACGTTGTGTCCTTAAGCAAGACGCTTTACTCACATTGCTTCGTCTTCTCGGATAGGACGTAAAACCGTAGGCCCCGTCTCCTGCAGGGTTGGGGTAGGAGACGTTAATTTCCCACGCACGAGATTACTGTGTGGTGGATGTCCTCCCCTGGGGTGGGATGGGTGGAAGAGACACTAATTGTAAAGCGCCTTTGATCATATAAAAAATGTTAATTGTTATAAATGAATTGTAAAGCGCTATTGAATATAGCAATAGAAATAGCGCTATATAAATACTGTATTATTATTATTATTATTATTGTTAAAAATACCAATCAAAGGAACTCAGACAATTACTTAAAAAAAGCTTTATTGAATACCTACCCTAAAAACCGACGAAAAACAACACGAAGAAACATCTTTATGTAACATTTTTTTTATAAAACCAGCGCAGGGCACTAGTGTCGTTGTTTCTCGTCAGAAAAGCAGCAAAACGAAGGGCGGCCAGTGTCATCCGAAATACAAAGGAAAATTGTGCCAAACATGTAAGTAATAATTATCCAAATAATTATTCATTTTCAACGTAGGTTGTCATCATTGCAAACGGATATTTTTGCCTACTGACCTCGACATCATCCCGAAATAATTTCGAGCAAGTTTAAGCTGAGGATTGAGTAAAGCCGCACCTGCCCCTCCCCCACACCCCCACCCCCAAGCTATAATTGTGTCATTGTGAGAGCATTTTTTGGAGCCCGTTTAAATTTGGAAAAAAGGTTTAGAACTTTTTTTTGTAAGTATCTACTTATCAAAGTAAATTTTGGTGAGCAAAGAACAATCTTAATGTTAGTTCTATCCCTTGAGCAGTTTACATTCAATTTACCGTTTTGCCCTTGTACATCCTATTCTTTTAAATTTGATCTGCGCATTGGAAATCTATCGTGGAATTTGCGCTCTAAACTTTTATTAAGTGGTTGCTCCAGCGGAGTTGTTGACTGGGGCCTAACTTTTTATCTGATAATTTTGGTACATGTAGCCAAGAAAGGTTCGAGCGCCCAGCATCCTGCTCGCCTTTGTAACGAGATCCGGGACTTTGGGGACTCCATAGGAGATGGGGAGTACTAGATCGACCCAGAGAGCATTAGAAGTCCTTTAAGGGTCTACTGTGACATGACAACTGATGGAGGTGAGCTTAGTATGAATGACTTACAAACTAGAAAGAGTTTAGTGTTTCTGTTGCATACATGCAGTCAAAATGGAGATTAAGATGTTTGAAGTTATTGAGGTGGCATGCAAAACTTAGAACGTACATGAAAAAATCAAGGAAAAAACTTAAACAAATGATTATAGACAGAGTAAGATCTAATGAAAGTCTTAAAGAATATGCAATATGGCGAGCGAAAAGAAAGCCAACGAAATGAAATGTTGGAGTTATTAATATCAACACACAAAAAACTGTGTTAAAGAGAGTAGGAAAATGCTCACGTGTGGTCCTTACTCCAAAGACTGTTTGATAGCGTTGCGAAATGTTTCATTCCAGGGGGCTGGCTTCTTGTGAAAAAATTTTGTTTCGAAGTCTACTTCACTTCCACACTGGACCACTGATTCATCAAACTTCAACAACAACAATATGGGTATCACAATGAGTGCACTGAAGGAGCTTAGGTCATACTTGTCTTTCACTCAACTTAGATTCCACTGCAGTAAGAAACAAGGTCGTACATTCCACGTGACCACGGTCAGTAATAGCACCGGTGCAGCTATGGTCCAGTTCTTCAGCGGCCAGAAGGATATGCTTCCCGATTCATGTGGGTATTTTCAAAGAATGGAGGACGGCAACTCTAAGTTTTCCATGGAGTGTGAGAGTTGGAATTATTAGGGAAAATGGGGAGGTTCTAGTTTGGAAAGTACGCTGCACATATTAGTTGCATTTTTTCCCGAGAAGTATCACTAGGGAGTATTTCAAGGAAATTGGTTCTGCGATGATCAGTATCCTGACCCCGTTTCGCCAGGAGATTTTTGGAAAGTCTACGCGCGCTAAATAATTAGTTCAACCAAATATCAAAATAATTTATGGTTGAGTTTTGACCCAGTGTGGAATCACAATTTCTCACTCTGTAGCAAACAAATTGCTTTCAGTCCTTTGTTTGTTGACACAGCAAGTAGTTTCTGTGAAGAACCTCGATTTCTAAAGACACCACTCTTTATTTTTTTCCCCGCGCGGGAAGGGGCAATAGAATGAGACGGATGAACGGAGGGGGGAATTAGTCGTCATCAATAGAGCACAAAGGGGGTACTATAGAAAATTGACTGCCAATTAACTGCCAATGATATCATAAGAATTCAAAAGAAAATTACCGAGCCTTATGGGGGAGTTGGGTAAATTTTATCGTGACACAACTAGAATCCTCCGACTTCCCCCCTCCCCTCCCCCCCGGCGATAAAAAATGACCGGTCCTCAAGTTATGTTACATAAAATAAAGCTCTAGCCTAATTTGAAACATTGTCAAAACGAAAGGGCGGTGGCCACCTGATGGGAGTAGGGATGGGACGGAGATCACATCTGTAACGAGCCATTTTAAATGTGATTCTTTGTTACCACCTGAACATCTAAATTATGGTTATTCAATTTCAAAAACAATTTAGAGTGGTCGAGATAGTAGTGGAAAATCTCTTTGTTTAGAGCTGACAGAATACAACATAAACCATATAAATAAAAGAAAAAAAACACAACTAAACAAAAAAGAACGAACAGACAAAAAAGTGACAGGACATAGCAGGATGCGATTCTCTAAGAATTTCGACTCAGCCAAAAAATATCATAGGGGGATCTTTTGCCACTTTAAACCGACTAATTTTCGAAGGAAAACCGGTTTTAATAGTTGACTTAACGGCACATCTGTTCGTTGATAAATACTTTTTGCATTTATGAAAAAAAAGTTTCCATAATGAACAGGTTGTTATATCTCTTAATATTTCCATTCATATTAATGTTTGTCCGTTCCTTCGTTTCGCAATCGATATCGTGTTATGACAAGTGAACTGAATAATTTATTAGAGTTAGTCCGTTTAAATTAAAATAAGTCCATACGGTTGCTACTAAATTTTTTAAAGCGTATGTATTGACATCTAGTGTACATAAGCATTACCGCTTGCTGGTTCTGACCTTAAATGCGAACCTGAGTAAAATTAGCTTAGAGCAATCTGGAGTGCATTTGAGCTACATTTTAAACAGTAACACGGGGATAACATTTTTGAATGTACAAGTGACTTAACATATAGCACTTCATGAGATGAAAATCTCAGTTTTAAGGTTTTCGTGTTTGTGAGATTTTTCTCAACATTAGCTTTCCCTCATAATGATTGGTGATATATCGCTATACATTTTCCTTTCAGTAAAATAGTGTTATAAAGTAGTTTGCCATATCTTGTATATGCGTTGGCAATTTGCATGATGTCAAGGATAATTAGGGATTTTTTAGGGAGAGTAGTGAATACCATTTTATAACAGTATCCGAACTTTGTAATGGCGCAATTCGTAAGCGATATGTGTCAGGAATGAGGGTTGTCATCTAAGGCGTAAAATTTGACTTACAACTTCAATATTCTCACAGATAGAAGTATCTTGGTTTAAATAAACTGTTTACATTGTTAGTGCAATGTGGTCAAATAAAAGCTCTTTGCATCGTAGTCTTAAAGAAATCCATACTAAGGTAAGTAAGTCAGCTGTCAATTATGACTCCGGCAACCTTTTCCAGTCCATTTTCAGGTTCTGGGCTCTGATCAATTCACCAAAGATTCGTGTAGGAGCCACACAAAACAAATTATCACAATGTACTTGGAAATTGTCAGAAATACATTACAATAATTTTGTGGCAACAATTTTATGATAGAGCTGAGTTATTTGGAACAATAAATCAGAGATGGCCGAGCGAAGTCATGTAGCTGTTAATTATCAGCCGTTTAGAGATCATTATGTGGTCTATTCGGTCTTATATCCATACAAGGAAAATAAAAGTTGATTACAATGGGGATCAATTAAGACTGTTACTATGGGGGTTTATCAAATTAGTTATCATTCGTGAATAAGCTACGCTTCCAATCGCAGACAACAGGCGACAACGATTAAATTTTTTAGGAACGACATGCAGGCTTCATGGCTGACTCAGTTTGTCTTTGTGACCCTATATATATTCCTGGTGTTGGTGGTGGCAAACAGAGACTTTTGTGCAAACGCTTTGGAAACTTAGGCAGGTAAGTAGTAGGCTTCGAGCCAGCTTCATTATGTTTTTAATTCATTTTGTTTCTGCATCAACAGTTCACCTGTAAATGTCTCCTAACAGATTTAACAGCCTTACTCGATCACGTCATCAACAAAACTGATGTTTTTGACGAGTTCGAATGTCACCTAAAATGTATAAGAAACAGTGGTTGCAAGTCATGCAGTGTTCATCCTAATGGCAATGATGGTAAGCTCATTTGTGAGAAGAACGACAAAACCGGGTAGATAAAGCCAGGTTACTTATCGACTGAGGCTGAATCTTGATTTTAATACCTTGGTGCTAAGAAAGGCTCGAGTTCCCGGGACCCTGGCTGTTCACGAAAGAACATTCGGAATACAGGGAACTCCACAGGGAATGGAGAGTAACCGATCGACCTTGAGAAAAACGAAAACCCTTTAAAGGTTCACTGTGACATGACAACTAATGGAGGTAAGCTGTACTCATAAGCAATTCAGTGACAAGAAACGGTTTAGTTTTTCTGTCTCATACATGCAGCTACAAGGGATTAATAAGGATTTTTACGCACGGATGTACAAGAATGTTCTACTTGTTAAGAGTTGCACCCAAATCACGGCAATTTACGGTTCTCTGGATGCTACAATTATCCATTAAACACTGCAAGCGAGAGCACTTTGAAGGTGCCCAATACCCCACGTATCACCACCCATCAAAGGCAAATGAATATGAAACACATTAACTTAACATGCAAATGTTTTATTATTCACCCGTGATATCGTATAATATTCAAGCGTTTCGTGTGGGCAAAACCCTGGTGTAAACATTTCGCTTTCTTAAGGCTATAGTGGGTATAAGTCGTTTGTTAAGTGTGTGTTTCCTCTGTCAGTTCTGCGACTCGCTAGCTGTTTAACGAACAAAAATCTTCCAAAAATCTCCCTTTGACAAAGTTATAAAGATATCGCCGTTCCCGTCGTCGCACAAGCGGTTTCCAGAGGTTGTCAGCCAGTGATAGCGATGGGCAACATATGCAGTGTGATCGCACAAATGTGTTTAGCCTTGTCTTTTATGCCCCCACTTCCCTGCGAATCCGTTGTTTCCCCATTTGGCACAATATCTGGAAAGAGAAGAGTTGTCACCTTTCATTCTAACAAAAGAGAGTCTGGCCGGGTGTTCGTCTGACCGCTGAAATACTGGACTACAGCTTCACCTGAGCTGTTAGCAGTGGTCACGTGGAATGTACGTCCCTGTTGTTTGCTACAGTGGGATCTCATCTGAGTGAAAGACAAGTGTCCTCTGAGTTCTTTCATGGCGCTAACTGTGATACCCATTTTGTGATTAGTGAATTTACTGATCCCGCGGTACGATGGCTGAGCCGTCCAAGTGGGAGGAGTGGTCGAGCTATCCACCATTAAGAGAAGCCAGCCTCCTAGCAATATTAAATAAAGACCGTGCATCTCACATCAATAAAGTGTTCTAGGTAAAAATGCGAAATCTTGTGGGTTTGTAAATGTAATATAGCGTTTATATCTCGATTCGTTTTAATGATTTGGACATGACAGATTGCGATGCACATTTTTATGTTTTACCATTCACCTACCTCCGTCAGTTTTCATATCACAGTAAACTTTCAAAGGGTTTCCTTTGCCCTCAGGGTCGATCCAATATTCCCCATCTCCTTTAGAGCCATTTGACTCAAGAATATGCTTGCAAGATTTCCCAGGATTTGCAGCAAAATGGCCAAGCCTCACTTGATAAATTTCAAAGAAAGAGATAAAAATTTAGTTTCGAAATAGCAGTTCTTATTATCATCAACACAATCCATAAGTGCGCTTTAACCCTTTACATCAATACTCATATTCTCTATACTTTTCGTGACACTTTGCTCGCGTTAATGAAAGGAAGTCGTCGTTTACTGATCAACAACTTTTCTCGTCGGTGATCATTTCCTTTATTTCCTTGATCCGAATGACTGATTCTCAGGGGAAAAAGTAATTAACAAAACACACGGCAACATGGAATCAATTTGTCTAATATAATAAATTAAAGAAAAAAAACTTGTGAATAATGACGCCATTTATGCGTCTGTCCTCCAATAGATCATGGGTAAGAACCAATTTAATCACAATCATTACAATTTCCTCAAATGTGATTGCTGCATCAGCTGCTTTATATTTCAATTCAGTTATCACTTTGTACAGTTGCAATCGGACATTTGGCTGTAATCGGACACCTGTAATCGGACAGTTGAAGCAGCCAATCATACTAAGTCCACTCAGCTAAATTCACCAGTCATTGAACTGATCGCAATAACCATAGTAACAACCACTAACAAAATTAGTTTTGACGTAAAGAAATTCGAAACGAGTTTTCATACCGCTTGATTCATTAGCAAAACAAGTCTATTTGGTCATAGTGAGTTTTTTATCATTTTTTCTTCGTTATTCAATTATTCCTGCGCTTATTATCCCTGTAGTTGCATGTCTTAGCGTACCTAATATGGTTCGTCGCTTGTCCTAAAATAATCGAACCGATGCGAAGCAACGCAAAGCGGTAAAAGACGATTATGACCGAAACAAGCTACATTTACACTTGACTACAACAGACATAGAACTTACCCGCACATATAAAACAAAAGAAGCACACAATATAAAACTAATTAACAAAAGCTGCAAGAACACAAAAACTAAGCTAAGCCAAAACTCGAAAATCACGAACAAAAAGAATTACGAAATCCTGGCGCCTACAATCACTTTGGTGCTCCACAAAGTGAAATCTGAATCGTGGAACCCCAAAACTTCAAATTTTGTAGATGAACTTTGAAGGTCCACACAACTCAACTAAAATTAACTTCATTGAAATTTTCATCGCATCCTAACTTACTGTCATGGCTCTCGAACGCAACTGAACAGCTTTCCGAATGTCGTGCAGCAGGAAAGACAAGGTAAAATGGAATAAAGATGCCAAGTAACATCTTTTGTGGGGGATACCCCGAGGAAACTAGGAACAAAAAAGATAATGCAACTCACGAAATGGCTATTTGATGCAAATTTGAGAATGACAAGATATGTCAAACAAACCTATATACAACTTAAAATGGCAGCAGTCCCAAAACGTCTTCTTTCCTTAACATGCGTCTGGTTAAAGAACATTCCTAACGCAATCGAAGAGAGGATCATCAAATAGCGTTTTTTTTTCTAAAAAACTACAACTGTTTTGGCCTATTTTTCATAGTAACACAGCAGTTAAATTATAAATCATTAATTGGTTTCATAACAAAGTATTCTTATTTTCAAATTTTGTAAAGTCGGCGAAATATGAAAACTTATAAATAATGCCCAGTAGCACATACCTTCTACTCGTGCTAATTTGCTCTGGTAACCCTTTGAATGAAGGAGTAAATCCGTTTACGAGATTAATTGGAACAAGCAAATGAATCTTAAAACTGATAAATCACCCAGGGACGAAAACGCTGAGCAAAATAATACGTAGAGCTAAGAAACCCAATAAAGGCTCTTCTCGCTGGTTAATAAAAAAATTGTTTGTATGTGAGAATTTTTTCTAGCAGAGCAGGTGCATGCCATTTTATTCTCTTACGAACAATATTCTTATCTCCTGGGCGATGAAACCAAGCAAAAATTTGCAGTGTTGATGTTATGGACAACTTCTGCCCTCGAGCTTATTTAACCTCTTACCTAATACAGTCATAAGATCTGAAGAGTAACTGTCTCTTTTGGCTGATACGTATGCCATTCACTCAAGGGAACCTGGGGTCTCATCCGGATAGAAGCTTTCACTCTCAGCGATTCAAAAAGTTGACATCCTCACACAGAATGAAAGATATTGGGTGATACACGCACAGTCACTCAAAATTAATCATTCACTTCGAAATTTGTTTTCCATTCACTTTACATGTCTTAACCCTCTGAGGAAAATTCTTCCCGAATTTCAATAAAAATCCTAAAGTCAATGACTACAAAACAAGCCAGTGAGATGATTTAAGGGAATTTTAGATTAAAACTGGCTGATAAATGCTTATAATTATTGAGCACAAACTATAGTTATGGATTAGGATTTATCTCAGGGGTATAAAGAGTATTGGAAACACAGATCTCCAGAAGTAGAAGTTGTTTCAGACTACGGCGTTTCTCGTGGTTAGTCAGAAAAATTACCAAAATATTATATTCGATCAGTTTTTCGAATTGAAAAACGAAATTTGTTTCGGAATTCGTCTATATTCGGAGTTGGTCAGACAACAGTTTGAAAATGCTAACCTTTTTCCACTTAGAAACTTACACGTACAATTTGAGAGGTACTCACTATCCGGTCAGAAAGGACAAATCCTTCGAATTTCCACGAAAAACTTCTGGAAAATTATGCTGCCAAGAAAAAATGGATCTTTTACTTTCCCAGCGTAGCCCTGAGTGTCGTCTGCCAACCAATCTAAGTAGTAATGCATCAGTGACGATAGAAACTTGATTTATAACTTCAAGTTATTCATTTGAAGTTTTTTTTTCGCATCAGCCTTTGTGAAACTTTTTTTTTTTTAAATCATCAAAGACTTTATTCTCTCATCGCCACACTAATTAAGCTGTGCAGTGGATGTTTTCGAAAACTCTACATTTTTTTAAAAAAACGTGGCTTGCCATATGTTAGATTGAAGATGAGTCTCAAAATAATTCATGTTTAATTTCGTTTATTACTGTGAAATAAAAGTTGGTCTGCTCGATGAAGGGCAGTAACATATTTTATCTGCCATTATTTCCACTATCCCTGAGGTACTGATTAACTATTAATCGAAGAACTCCAAGTATTGTTAACTATTTTGCGAGCTAAAAACTGACAACACGAAATTCTGAGGCCAAAAAAATAAAAATTGTGGACTTTAAGAACTCAGACAGCTGTTCGGTAAATCCATAATCCGGGCAAATTCACCCATTTCCCTCTGCAGTATAACAGAAATTACAGTGTAAGAAAAATATCCAATGCGTATGGATACCCGGGATGTACAGGAGTTGGGTAGCTTTAGGGCTCTGTGTAGAAGAGTTGCTGCTGTGCTGCTGTGCTGGCCTTGTGTTTATTATCATGGTGAGAATTGTAATCTGGATATCTGTCTGTGTGCGTAGGCTTTCTGTAAACATCGACAGCGATGGTACCATTTCTACGGGTGACCAAAGTGTCGAGAAAGGAGATCTTATTGTCACTTTCAATTTCGATGGTGAAAGAGATGTTGGCGTCAATTGAATTTAATGTGTCATGGAAAGCTGGCACATTGTCTTTTTTGATGATGCAGAAGCTGTCATCGACATAACGTTTCCTCCTAAAATCTGGAAATCTCCGAAGGAAAAGAACGAGAACTTAACCGAGTTTATTCAGCACTTGAATCTAATGGTTATCCATCGAATTTCATTAAAAACATCCAGGCCAAAAAAACCCGATGCTCAACAGTGTTGTCCCCGGAGGAACTTGTTGGAACATTTTTCAAGATGGTCGAGGCGTCCGAATCACGCGAGTCGTTCGCCTCTCTTCCATACATTAAAGGCGTAACAGAACCTCTGACTCGTGTCCTCAAAAAACACGACATCACAGTGGTGAAAAAACCACTCATCACCCTTCAACAACAGTTCCCGGCCCCAAAATTTCGACCATCGTTGGAATCGCAAACAAATGTTGTTTATAAAATTCCTTGTGGTGACTGTTCATGGTGTTATATTGGTGAGACTGGCAGGGCCTTCAACACAAGAAAGAAAGAACACCTCAGAAATGTGAAAACCGCGGCAAAAGGTTCAAGAATTGCCAATCACGTCTGGGCCAATAGTCACGCAATAGACTTTGTTAATGCATCTATTATTGAAGGCGGTTTCAGAACAAGAAAAATACTAGAAGCGTGGCATTCTAAGTTAACTCCCAATGCGGACAACAATTCCTGTCCTTTGCCCGGACAATACAACATTCTTTTTAACAAACATTCTTAGTTATCAGCATTTTTAATTTTTACTTTGTACTTCACACCTAGTATTTTTTTACCTTTTTATCATTTTACCCGTTGAAGGCTGTAGCGCAAACAGCCGAAAGCTCGTTTTTTTAAAAGTTTTAGCCAGAGATCGTTTTTTTTAAATTTCATAAAAAAAATCTGTTCGACAAAATTAAGAGGAACTACAAAAGCCAAAAAAAGCAACTCAAAGCAGTTTAAGTTCTTTTAATTCATACAATTATTTTTTTATTTCATTTTTCGGTATTTTTCGTTCGTTGGTATGTATAGGGTTTGCTGAAACAAAGTAAAATCATGTAAAAATTATTGACGCTAACTTTTTTTGGACGATGTTGCGTAGTGTTTAACTATAAAACGGTTGCCAAGGAAATATTGTTACAAATTCGTGACAGTTTTCAAGGTCATCCGACTAGAATTATAATCTATTTGGTGTTGCGTCTATACAAATTGTTGGCGAGTTGGTTTGTTTCTGCCCAGATCCTCACCATGAATATATCAAGGTCGCCGCAGGGGGGAAGTTTAGTTCATTTATTATCGACAGCTGATTTATGAACTTTAGTTCAGTTTTCAAAAAGTCCCTGTTCACCACAATGAACCAAACGGTCAAGAATACATGCAGGTACATTAAGAGTCACAAACAGAAACTGTGTCAGCCACGAAGCGTGCATGGTGTTTCTGTTATGTGATGTGTTCGTGAGTATTTGACAATTTTCACGGTGAACAACCTGGGTTGTGGTCACTTGTTGTCTGCGAAAGAAAACTTGAAAGAAAATAATCGGTAACAAGTTTTCTCACGAGGTAAATGAGGTATAAAAATTCTTGAGGAAACGCCTGACATTTTGAGTATTTTCAATGCATCGAAAAGATCATAAATACATTTTTACAGGCAAAAGTTTAAAACTTTTAAAATAAACACAATCTTGGAACTTCTCCGACAAAATGAAATCCTTATAGTGGAGCAGGTTTGCAGTCTCGATTATTCCCCAGCCTTTACTGTCATCAATGAAATGATGTCCTCCACATGATAATGTGGAGGACAGTAGATTAACGCAATATCTATCGAGTCACAAAAAAGATCCACATTTTCTAGCTAGCGCGGTGCAAACATGCGTTTTGCTGGGATGACATGCCGTGTCAACGTTTTAACAATACTTACGTGTTTGACACCATCTTCCTTCCTTCTGCTGCAGTAAGAAACAAGGTCGTATGTTCCACGTGACCACGGTCAGTAAAAGCACTGTTGAAGCTGTGGTCCAGTACTTCAGCGACCAGACAGATGTGCCTCCCGATTCATCTGGGTTTTTTCAGAGAATGGAAGACGACAACTCTAAGTCGGTCATGGAGTGTGTGAGTTGTAATTGTCAGGGAAAATGGAGTCATGCTCCGGTTTATGTGGAAGTGAAGCTATACAGATTTGCCGTATACATTCCACCCAAGTATCATTGGCATCTATTATATGGATACTGGTATTGCGATGACACGTATTTTAGCCCCGGAAAATCTATGTGCGCTAAATTATTAGTTCAACCAAATATCAACCAAATGGTTGACTTTCGACCCAGTGTGGAATTACAATTTCTCACTTTGTAAAAGACAAACAAATTGCGTTCAGTCCTTCGTTTGTTGACGCAGTAAGTAGTTTCTATGAATAACCTCGACTACTGAGGGTAAGACACCAGTCGTTAGTTATCCCAGGGGGCGGGGGGAAAGAAGTTTAGGGGGATCAATTGGCTTTTAGGATGAACGGAGGGGGAATCAGTCGTCGTCAATAGAGCACAAGGGGGGAGGCTATAGAAAATTGACTGCCAATTAACTGCCAGTTATGACATGAGACTTCATAAGAAAATTACAGAACCTTAAGGGAGAATCAGGTAAATTTTATCGTGACACAACTAGAATCCTCCTACAGCAAAGCTTTTTGCATCGTAGTTGAGACCCAGTTTCACACTGTTTTAAAGAAATCTGCACCAAGGTAAAAAAGTCAGCTTTCAATTATGAATGAACTAAACTTCCCCCCTTCGGCAACCTTTTTCAGTCCATTGTGAGGTTCTCAAAAGTGACAACCCAATTCGCCAAAGATTCGCATAGAAGTCACACAAAACGGGTTATCACAGTGTACTTGGAAATTGTCAGAACTACATTACAATAACTTTGTGGCGACTATTTCATAATAGCACTAAGTTACTTGGAACATTAAATCACCACGAGATCGATGATGTGACATGGAAAAGCGAGATGGCTGAGCGAAGTCGTGTAGCTTTTAATTATCAGCCGTTTAGAGATCATTATGTGGTCTATTCAGTCTTATATCCATATAATAAAAATAAAAGCTTGTTACAATGGGGATCAATTAAGACCCTGACTGTGGGCATTTATCAAATCAGTTACCATTCGCGAAACAGCTAGGCTTCCAATCGCAGGCAACAGGCGACAACGAGTAAATTTTTTCGACGTGTGTTTCTTAAGTATCTACGAACGACATGCAGGCTTCTTGGCTGATTCAGTTTGTCTTTGTGACCCCTCATGTATTCCTGGTGTTGGTGGTGGCGAACAGGAACTTTTGTCGAAACATTTTAAAAACTCAAGTCGGTAAGTAATAGGCTTCGAGCCAGCTTCATTACATTTTGTCTCTGCATCAACAATGTCCACATGCAAATGTCTCCTATCAGATTTTGCCTTAATTGGTCGCGTCATCAGCAAAACTGATGTTTTTGACGAGTTCAGTTTCACCTTAAATGTATGGGAAACGGTTGTTGCTAGTCATGCAACATGGAATACTTAGTTTTAAGACACTGATTATTCAGTGCTATGTTGAACGTGTGGTGACAAGGAAAGTCAAATTTCGTTTAGCATCGATTGGGGGAAGTACAGCCAAAAAGAGTTTACTTAAACAAGGCAAGCATCCGTTACGAATGTTCTCTGCAAAGAGAGTTTTGAGGTGCGATGCATTAAAGCAAAAGCATATAGAAACGGAACGTATACTTACGCAGAGGACCATAACACCCTCATCTTTGGGGGAAAATGAGGAGAATGTGGATCCGAAGCAAATTAAATAGAACAAGGAATTATATGATTTATCTTTTGGCAAAAAAAACATTCTGATGATAAAATTCAGCATACAATCTAACTGCCATTATTTGGCCAAGTTGCTAAGCACAGTTCAAAGTCACGGCATCCACGGTATAGTTTTCAACACATTTGAAGGCAAAAGTGGATGTGTAGGTTACTCTATGAAAACGTTAAATGCGGTGAGTTTGATAACTCTCTACATAACTTTTTTGAGACTGAGAGAAAATTGATTTGGTTTATTTCCGGTTGCGATTGTGGGTGCTTCAAACAAAATCAATCACTAGTTTTCACGAAAAAGAAATTGAGAAAATAATTGTAGACGATACAAAATCAGTAAAAAGGAAAAAGACAAACAGAAAGCACTTATAAGAGTTTTATGAATCTAACGACAAAAACGGAGAGCGGGTCAAACTTTAAAAGGTGTCCGATGTAACTTGCCTAACCTAAAATGTAAACGAGAAAAAAGAAAAGGACGACAGCTAGACAAAAGATCAAAGAAAAAGCAAGGTGAAGAGTTGAAATCTACAAGAAAGTTGACTTCGATGGGCTAAAGAATGCGAAGAAAAAAAGGCTGAAAATTGAAGTTGTCTGTAACAGCACTGGTGAAGCTGTGGTCCAGTACTTCAGCGGTCAGACGGATGCGCCCCCCGATTCCTGTGGGTCTTTTCAAATAACGGAAGGCGAGAACTTTAAGTCGGTCATGGAGTGTAAGGGGTGGAGTTATAGGGGAAAATGTGGATATGCAGCTTATGTGAAAGAGAGGCTGTACAAATATGCTGCATATGTTCCATCCGAGTATCATTGGCATCTTTTAGAAGGATACTGGTACTGCGACGACTGGTACCATGACTTCGTTTCGCCAAGGGATTTTTGGAAAATCTATGTGTGCTAAGTAAAACAAAAGATCAGGACAATTTTTAGTCGAGTGTCGACCCAGTGTGGAATTACAATACTTCGCTTTGTGAAATTTCTTTTAAAAAATATATTATTTTGTCCCCAGGTGCCATAAATTAGCTCGATTATTTGCGATTTTTTCGTCTTGAGGCAGAGTCAGATCCAGTACACTGGTTCTGATTGGTTGTTTTGATAAACTTCGTTTTGAAGTAAAGAAACTCGATTCAAAATGGTTCCAACACAAACAACAGTTTTTAGAAAGTAATTTCTTTGAATAGCACTGCTCAAGCTGTGATCCAGTACTTTAGCGGCCAGAAGGATGAGCTTCCCGATTGATGTGGGTCTTTTCAAAGAATGAAAGGCGACAACTCTGAGTTGGACATGGAGTGTAAGATAAAGAGATCTGTGTGTCATTGGGGAAATCACAGACTCAAAGTAGTCTGTGGTAGTGGACCTGCATTTGTTCCCAGAAAGCATTATTGACGTAGTCTCAGTAGGAGACTTTTGGGAAAAAAACCCTGTGCGCTAAATAATTAGTTAATAAAAACATTAGAGCAATTTTCAATTAAGCATTGACGCATTGTGGAATTGCATGCTTTTTCTTTTTGAAAGGTCGGAAAAAAGTCGCACCATATTCTCAATCATCACTAAGACCTGAAATATTTATCTTGGTCACTTGCACTTGTGATTTACCGCCTTGAGGTCTTTTTTTTCTGCATTTATTATGAGTTCTTATTGGCTCCTTGGGATATTTATCTTGGTTCTGGTTGGCCGTTTTGATAATCTTGGTTTTGGTTTATGTTACTTAATTGAGAATCGTTCATTCTAAAAATAAAAACCTTCCTTTCACTTATTTAAGTCGTTTCGATGAATATCCGTAACTTCAAAGGATAAGCAAGCGAGACAAACCGTTCTCTCCCCTTACCAAAAAAATGTTAAACAAATTCAAACTAGTCAAACTACTAAAAGGAGCGAAAGGTGGTGATGAGAAAAGGATGAAAGAATGTGCAAGAATTGTATGTATCCTACATCGGGATTAAATTGTGTTATTCAAAAGATAATTTGTGCCTCTGTATCGTCGAGTTTTTGAGGCATTAACCACCAGGTGATCGCTAGTGTAGGATAGAAAACCAGGGCCTGCACTTCAAGTCTGGCATCTTTGAAGGGTTTGCTCGTTGGAGACTGTTATTTGGGCCCTTATACGATGTACTTATTTCATATGAAATAAAAGGTTAAAAGATCCCTCCTAGGATCCCTCCTGTTTTTAAGAGAATGTCTTAACTACAGTCAATAGAGAAGCTGTAACTAATGAATGAACCAAACTTCCCCTCCCGCGACTTTTGTTAAGTCCATTGTGAGATCCTAGGTGGTTCGTATAGAAGCAATGCCAAACAGATTATGTTAAACGACCGAGCTTGAAAATTTTCAGAACTGCATTACAATACATTTATAATGAATATTTTATCGCTGCATAAAGTTTTAGGGAGCGCTAAGTCACCGCTAGAGCGATTGTCAAAGATGTGAGAGCCTGGTACCTGGCCGGATAGCTTTTCAATGTTAGCCGTTCAGAGATCATGACGTATTATCATTTGTTATATTGTAATCGATAATATGACTCAAAATAAAACCTCTTCATAATGGCAATTTAGGCCACCCCGTATCAATATGAGGGTTTATGAAAGCAGTTATCAATTATAAACAAGTTTTCTTTCGCAGACAACGAGCGACTATAACCCAAGTTGTTCACTGTGAAAATTGTCAAATACTCGCAAACAATTCAAATAACAGAGACACCATGCACAGTTTGTCTTTGTGACTCTTAATGTATTCTTGACCGCTTGATTCGTTGTGGTGAACAGACACTTTTTGGAAACTAATTAAAATTGATAAATCAGCTGTCAATAATAAATGAACTAAACTTCCACCCTGCGGCAACCTTTTTATATTCATTGTGAGGATCTGGGCAGAAACAAACCAACTCACTAACGATTTGCATCGACGCAACACCAAATAGGTTATAATTCTAGTCGGATGACCTTAAAAACTCTCACGAATTTGTAATAATATTTTCTTGGCAACTGTTTTATAGTTAAACACTACACGCCATAGTCCAAAAAAGTTAGATTCAACAATTTTTATGTGATCTTATTTTGTTTTAGCCAAGCCTATACATACCAACGTACGAAAAATACCGAAAAATGAAATTAAAAAAAGGACCTAATGAATTAGAAGAAATTGACCTGCTTTGAGTTGCTTTCTTTGCCTTTTGTAGTTCTTCTTAATTTTGTCTGACAGTTTTGTTTTTAATCCTTGTGGAGAATGATGATAACAGCGGTTCATAATAGTCCTGAAGGATTCTGTATTATTTTTCCAACGGCGGAGAAGTGGTGACTACTGAATCATTTAATTTATGATCCAAGGATTATCGTGTAGTAAAATTACTACATGCGAGAAAAGAAAAAAATAACCCGGGTGATTTATTTGCTGCTGAGTGGTTTTAGCAGCTATTATCAACAAATAGCCTCGAATTGATACACAAACAAAATGGCGACCTTTGTTGCTAAGAATAGTGGTGCGGTGAAAAAGAAGCCAATGGTAATCTTAAAAGAGTTTATTTTTATCCGTTTTAGTTTCAACAAGCGGCGCCAGCGACTGGCAGGCGTGCGAGGGTTCACACTGAAATAAGAGAACAACCTTCGTTTTTCTTAAAATTGAAATTTACAATCCTTAAACTTGAAAACAATCAGAAGATTCATTAATTCTCTTACTCCGAAGCGCTCTGAGTTTACAGGTGTTCAAAAGCTTTTTCTGTTATGGCGTGAGATTAGGGACAAAATTGATCATTACATTTCGTATCGTGTGTTTTTTCGGTGTGAAGCAACGAGAAGTGCCGGCGACTGACGAAATTACAGGTTAACACGAAAATCAAATAGCATGTAAACAAATAATTTTGGCTACCGATTTTCAGTGAATTTTTAAAGAACAATTTTCTTTTAACTTAATTGATAAATAGACCTGAAATGAAATTCTATCTTGTTCTTGATTATACGCTGCCTAGCACATAACCAAAATCTACCCCGGCCGAAATCCAAAATGACAGTGGAAGTCTGGGCTTAGTTGTATCACTCAAAACTCGTTCCCGTTTGTCTCATTTGATAAAGAGGGAATCATTAATGTTTTCATTGAGACAGTATTGCCCTGATTTTCCAATATTTACAATGACAGACAGTAAATTTCTCTTTTCACCCACGTTCACTTCCAACCTTTTCTTTTGAACCGGAAACAAAAATGATATGTGTTTAAAACACATGACATCATCCATCCTTGTCAGATGTAATAGCATGATCATTTCAATTGTAATGCCTTCTTATCCCAAGGTTACTTTGTTTCTTTGCTACATTAGCGCACACTGAACTACTGCTCGTACTCTAGATATGACAATCAACTACAAAATTCCCTAAACCAGATAACATTAAACATAATCAAAAAAATCATGTAAGTCATCTGTCAATTCACGAGTTTGCTCACAGAGCACTTTGATATTTTTCAAGTTTTGAACTGTTTATTTATCGACCTCGTAAGAAATGATAATATGTTAACAACTCTTAATTGGTCTATGAATTCACTCGCGTTATCCTATAATATTCAAACGTTTCGTTTGGGCAAAACCGTCGTGAAAACATTTCACTTTTTTAAGGCCACTAATTATAAGTCGGTAGTTAAGTATGTGTTTATCCTGTCAGTTCTGCGACTCGGTAACTGTTTAACGAACAAAAATCTTCCAAAAGTCTCCCTTTGACAAATTTATAAAGGCATCGTTCTTATTGTCGTCGCACAGGCGATATATCCCGGTTGTCTTCCAGATATAGTGCTTATCAACATGTGCAGTGAGATCGTACAAACGTGTTTCGCCTTGTTCATTTCTATGCCCCCACTTCCCGAAGTTCGAAGATCTGTCGTTTCCCCATCTGGAACAATTCCTGGAGAGATAAGAGTTGTCATCTTTCATTCTAACAAAAGAGAGACACGAGTCTGGCCGGGTGTTCGTCTGATTGCTAAAATACTCGACTACAGCTTCACCAGAGCTGTTAGCGGCTGTGGTCACGTGGAACGTACGTCCCTGTTGTTTACTACAGTGGAATCTCATCTGAGTGAATCGCAAGTGTCCTCTGAGTTCTTTCATGGCGCTAATTGTGATACCCATTTTGTGATTGGTGAATTTGGTGATCCCGCGGTACGATGGCTCAGCGGTCCAAGCGGGAGGAGTGGTCGGGTTATCTACCATAAAGATGGATGTAAGAAGCCAGCCTCCTAGCAATATTAAATAAAGACGATACATCTCACATCAATTCTAAAGTGTTCTAGGTAGAAATGCGAAATCTTAAATAGTGTGTATATCTCGATTCGTTTTAATGATTTGGACATGACAGATTGAGATGCATATTTTTATGCGGTATCATCTCTTGGTACCTTTCACCTACCTCCGTCAGTTTTCATATCACAGTAGACCTTCAAAGAGTTTCCTTTGCCCTCAGGGTCGATCCAGTATTCCCCATCTCCTTTAGAGTCATTTGCTTCAAGAATATGCTTGCAAGACTTTCCAGGATTTGAAGCAAAATGGCTAAGTCTCACTTGATAATTTTCAAAGAAAGAGATAAAAATTAAGTTTCGAAATCGCAGTTCTTATTATCATCAACACAATCTACAAGTGCGCTTTAACCCTTTACATCAATACTCATATTCTCTACACTTTTCGTTACACATTGCCTGCGGTAATAACAGGGAGTCTTTGTTTAACGATCAACGGCTTGTCTCGTAGGTGATCTTTTCCTTTATTTCCTTGATCCTAATGACTGATTCTTAGGGGAGAATGTAACTAACAACTGAACGCACGGCAACATGGAATCAATTTGTTTAATATAATAAAGAAGCCAAACTTGTGAATGATGACGCCAGTTATGCGTCTGTCCTCCAATGGAGCATAGGTAGGAACCAATCAAATAGTCACTCTTAGGTTAAAGGATATTTATTACTTACGTGTTTGGCACAATTTTCCTTTGTAGTTCGGATGACACTGGCTGCCCTTCGTTTTGCCACTTCGCTGACGAGAAACATCCACACAAGTGCCCTGCGTTGGTTTTATCAAAACATATTACATACAGATGTTCCTTCGTGTTGTTTTTCGTCGGTTTTTAGGATAGTTATTCAATAGGGCTTTTTTTTTGAGGTGATTGTTTGAGTTCCTTTGATTTATATTTTTAACTTCGAGTAGTGGTTAACAGCATAAGACGACTTTTCGTTTTTTTCATTTCAGATGTAAGAAAAGCAAAGGGAGGCCAATGAATCGTTAATCAATATCCACTGGCCTTGGGATACTTCTTTAGATTTCTATTGCCAGGTTTAAAGAGTAGAATAAGAGGTTTGTTTATACATTTTTTTCGGGAATACAGTGAGCAAAACCAAGTATAACAAGACCATGTATAATTACACATACGCTCTAAAATTGTTTAATAAGAGCTTTTGCAGTTGAATTTTCTCAGTTAGCTGTTCTTCTTTGCACAATAAAAAAATGATAATTATGAAAATGAGGATGAGTTTATGATGATAATGAAGGTTGTTTAAAAAAGGGTAACGGTGCTCCAAATTTCTAGCATAAAAACGGATTACCAAAGAGATTTTTTGTTTCTTTATCTTCGCCTTGTGCCGCTCTCGAATCTAAAAAGGAATATGTGTACACCAGAAACATATTTTCAACTGACCTGAACTGAACCATAGTATGTAGATCCTTTGTTCCGTTTAAAATCACCTGGCTTCATCTGCCGGGTTTTGTTGTTGAGCTCGCAAAGCTTCTTCGCATTATTGCCATTGCGGTGAACATTAAACGACTTGCAACTGTTGTTTCCCATACATTTTAGCTGACACTCAAACTCATCGGCAACATCAGTTTTGTTGATGACGTGATCAAATAAAGTGAAATCTGAAAAATTTGCAATAGGAAATTGGCGATGTAGAAACATTAACTATAAAGAAATGAAGCTGCAGGTTCTGATCGAGTTATTACTTACCAACTTGAGTTTCAAAAACGCTTGCACAAAAGTCATTGTTCGCCACAACGAACAACACTACCAGAAAAATGTGAAAAGATACAAAGACCAATTGCTTCAACCTCCGTGGAAGCATAGTATTTTTTTGGTATTCAACTGACGAGCCTCTGGTCGTTTGCTCTACGCAGCTGCTGCCAAAATGCTAGTCTACCTCAGAATAACATTGAATACCAAGTGGAGGCTATTTGTTGATATCAGTTGGTCAAAACACTCAGCGGCAAATAAGCAGGAAAACAATTTTTGGATCATAAATGATTCAGTAGTCACCTCTTCTCCGCCTTCGGCAAAATATGACAGAATCTTTCAGGACTAAATTGAACCGCTGTTTTCATCATACCCCACTAGGATTAAAAAAAAAAAGAATCTGTCAGCTCAAGTTTAGTTTCCAAAAAGTCTCTGTTCATCGCAACGAACAAAACGGTCAAGAATACATAAAGAGTCACAAAGACAAACTGTGTCAGCCGCGAAGCGTGCATGGTGTTTCTGTTATGTGAATCGTTCGCGAGTATTTGTATTTGACAATTGTCACGGCTCCACGCAGCTGCTGTCAAAACGCTAGTCTACCTTAGAATAACATTGAATACCAAGTCGAGGCTATTTGTCGATATCAGTTGGTCAAAACACTCAGCGGCAAATAAACCACCCGGGATATTTCTTTCATTTGCAGCATGTAGTAATTTTACTAAACAGAAAGACAATTTTTGGATCATAAATGATTCACTAGTCACCTCTCCGCCTTTGGGAAAATATGACAGAATCTTTCAGGACTAAATCGAACCGCTGTTTTCATCATACCCCACTAAGATTAAAAAAAAAAAGAATCTGTCAGACAAAAATAAGAAGAACTACAAAAGCCAAGGAAGGCAACTCAAAGCAGTTTAATTTCTTCTAATTCATACAATCACTTATTATTTTAATTTTTTTTGGCATTTTCGTACGTTGGTATGTACATAGGCTTGGCTAAAACGAAGAAAATCATATAAAAATTATTGAATCTTACTTTTTTTGGACGATGTTTCGTAGTGTTAAATTATGTAACAATTGCCAAGAAAACATTGTGACGAATTCGTGAGAGTTTTCAAGTTCATTCGATTAGAAATAGAATATTGTCGGTGTTGCGTCGTTACAAATCGTTGACGAATTCATTTGTTTTTGCCCAGATCCTCACAATGGATATAAAAAGGTTGCCGCGGGGGGGGAAAGTTTGACAGCTGATTTATCAACTCAAGTTTAGTTTCCAAAAAGTCTCTGTTCATCGCAACGAACAAAACGGTCAAGAATACATAAAGAGTCACAAAGACAAACTGTGTCAGCCACGAAGCGTGCATGGTGTTTCTGTTATGTGAATCGTTCGCGAGTATTTGTATTTGACAATTGTCACGGCTCCACGCAGCTGCTGTCAAAACGCTAGTCTACCTTAGAATAACATTGAATACCAAGTCGAGGCTATATATTTGTCGATATCAGTTGGTCAAAACACTCAGCGGCAAATAAACCACCCGGGATATTTCTTTCATTTGCAGCATGTAGTAATTTTACTAAACAAGAAGACAATTTTTGGATCATAAATGATTCACTAGTCACCTCTCCGCCTTTGGGAAAATATGACAGAATCTTTCAGGACTAAATTGAACCGCTGTTTTCATCATACCCCACTAGGATTATAAAAAAAGAATCTGTCAGACAAAAATAAGAAGAACTACAAAAGCCAAAGAAGGCAACTCAAAGCAGTTTAATTTCTTCTAATTCATACAATCACTTATTATTTCAATTTTTTTGGCATTTTTCGTACGTTGGTATGTACATAGGCTTGGCTAAAACGAAGAAAATCATGTAAAAATTATTTAATCTCACTTTTTTGGACGATGTTTCGTAGTGTTAAATTATGTAACGGTTGTCAAGAACACATTTTGACGAATTCGTGAGAGTTTTCAAGTTCATTCGATTAGAAATAGAATCTAGTTGGTGTTGCGTCGTTGCAAATCGTTGACGAATTCAATTGTTTTGCCCAGATCCTCACAATGGATATAAAAAGGTTGCCGCGGGGGGGAAGAAGAAAGTTTAGTTCATTTATTATTGACAGCTGATTTATCAACTCAAGTTTAGTTTCCAAAAAAGTCTCTGTTTACCGCAACGAACAAAACGGTCAAGAATACATTAATAGTCACAAAGACAAACTGTGTCAGCTGCGAAGCGTGCATGGTGTTTCTGTTATGTGAATCATTCGCGAGTATTTGCATTTGACAATTGTCACGGTGAACAACTTGGGTTGTGGTCGCTCGTTGTTTGCGAAAGAAAACTTGTATATTATAAATAACTGTTTTCATCAACCCGCTTATTAATACGTCTTAAGTGAGGCGTAAACTACCATTATAAAAAGGTTTTATTTTGAGTCATATTATGTAATGTTTAAAAAACGAGCGGGAGTGTTTTATCGGGTTTTTGACCCGATAAAACACGTGCTGCGAGTTTTTTGAACGGCTTCAAAAACATTCTTGGAAAAGCGTGTGTCAAGAGAGTTCATAACAATTATGCTTTTGTGAACGTTAGAAATTAGCATACGAGAAAAACATTAGTGTGTTGCTTCTATACAAACCGTGGGTGAGTTGGGTTTTCATCTCCGCCCGTAGGATCTCACAATGAGCTTAACAAAGTCGCCAGAGGGGAAGTTTTGTTCATTCATTAGTTACAGCCGATCTATTGACTGTCGTTAAGATAGTTTCTCAAAAACAAGAGGGATCTTAAGAGGGGTCCTTTAAGCTTTTATTTCGCATGAAATAAATACATCGTAAGGGCCCAAATAATAGTCTCCAACGGGCCAACCATTTAAAGATGCCAGACTTGACGTACTCTCCCTGGTCTTTTCATTCTATACACTGGCGATCTCCTGGTTGTTAATACCTCAAAAACTCGATAATGCAGAGGTACAAATTATCTTTATGGTAATTTTGGTTTGTTTCTGCCCAAATCCTCACAATAAATATAACAAGGTTGCTGCTGGGGGGAAGTTTAGTTTATTCATTATTGGCAGCTGACTGAACAACTGTAATGAGTTAAGTCTCTATTCACCGCAACGAACAAAACGGTCAAGAATACATTAAGAGTCACAAAGACAAACTGTGTCAGCCACTGAGCGTGCATGGTGTTTCTTTTAAATGAATCGTTCGTGAGTATTCGGCAATTGTCACCGTGAACAACTTGGGTCGTGGTCGCTCGTCGTCTGCGAAACAAAACTTGTTTAATATTGATAGCTGTTTTCATCAACCCGCTTATCAATACGTCTTAAGTGAGGCCTAAATTACCATTATGAACAGGTTTTATTTTGAGTCATATTCTTGACAATGAAAAACTACCCGATCAGGTAGCAGGCTCTCACATAATCGCTCTAACGGTGACTTAATGCTCTATACAACTTAATGCAATGATAAAATATTCATCCCAAATGCATTGTAATGAAGTTCTGAAATTTTTCAAGTTCGATCGTTTGACATTATCTGTTTGGTGTTGCTTTTTACGAACCGTGGGTGAGTTGGGTTTTCACCTGCGCCAGTAGGATCTCACAATGGACTTAACAAAGTCGCCAGAGGGGAAGTTTAGTTCATTCATTAGTTACAGCTACATACACTGTAAAATGAAAAGAGCCAAATTGACCCCAAAAGCCAAATTGGCCCCAATTTCTCGAGGGCCAGTTTGGCCCATCAAGGTTCGTTTTGGACTATTTGAGCCAAAACGGGCGGGACAGGTACCATTTCGACCCCTCCAAAATCTGAATTGACCCCTATGAATTCTACTTTGGAACTTTTTCTCAATTTGGCCCTTCCAAGAGCCAAGTAGGATTGACCAATTTGACCCCAACGAGGTGCAATTTTTGAAAAAAAAAGAAAATATAAAAATAATTTTCTTTTTTCGACCATATTTCGTTCCCTATACTATTCCTTATAAAGTGTTCAAATTTTCAACGGTTCCTCTCGTAACTGAACACCGAGTCACACAACGAATTAATCGTTGGCTTTTTCTCGAGACGTGAGCGTGAGCTGCCTGTGATGGCATTAGTCGAACCTAGACCACGTGCGTCGGAAACAATAATGAATTATAGCAGCGAATTCGTCACTGAAGAGGCTTTTTCTTGGCTACAGTCGCATGGAATGAGACTTAGGAAAGGAAAGGTAGGCAAAAGAAATTTCTTAACAACGTATTTTACTGCAACTTTACATTCACAAACTTGACCGCTCCATTAATCTTTGTTCGTATCTTATCTTGCAGAAAAAGACGGTTGCGATGGCCAAGATCTCCTTGCCATCGCCCAAGATGCAGACGTACCAAGGCACTACATCCCTATTATAAAAGAGCGTCTAGAGCTCAAGAAATTGATTGCAATGAACGCTGAACCTAGAGATGACACGAGTTCTTCGTCGGTACGATAATTAATTTTCCCACCAGAGAATTTGACGCATGAATGGTTCGCCTCTTCTCCCGAGTCTTGTTGAGTCTCAGCGGTTTCGCAACTAAAGTCACGTGATCAAATTTTGGCGCCGAGAGATAGAGACGGTTACAGTTCGAATACTGCATTTGCACAAGATGGATTTAACTTATTTCAAGATTCTCTGATTTTAGGATCTCTCACTCTGAATTCTTAATCTTTTTCTTGAAAAGATGAACTGATATTTTTATGTCTATGTCTTTGTTTGCATCCACTTAAGCTGATTTTTTGGCTCTCACTCTTTCAGCGTGCAGAATCAAGTCATTCGAGTAAGACGGTTCAAACGTCGATTGATGATTCAGATAACATCAGCGATTATGAAAATTTAGAGGTGACATTGGCACCGAAAGAAAAGGGTAAATCGCCCAAGGATCTCTGTTTTACGGACGAGGCGACAGAACTGAGCACTGTCTAAGTAAGTTCTTGTATATTAAACTTAGCAGGATGGTGAAGAGTTCATTATCGATTACTTTCTTTCGATTATATCCTAAAGGAAAACACACAAGGTGCCAGTTAGTCAGTTAAAGATGACAAATCTCGGGAATTGCACCTACAAAAATGGCGCGATTTGCTTTATTTTTATTGAAATATATTAGATATGTATTTACTTGCATCATGCATAAAACAAAGTAAACCCAATTTTTAAATCTGGTAAATTAAAAAATT